TTGGGTTTTCTCAGATGGAAAAACAAAACTGTATGAATGAAGTAGACCAAGTCGTAATACTGCGTTATGATCAAATCCGAGCATCTGCAATCAAAGACTGCACAGGACCAGGTGGTTTGTCCCACACTGTGGTGTTCCCAGAAAAAATGCTGTCTAAACTTAGAAATAGAGTGTTGGAATTGCAGGATGAGATAAAACAGCAGAAACAACGTCAGAAGTATGTAATAAAATAAATATACTTTAACATACCATGCAAGGCAAACCTTTTAATTAACCTTTTATGCCAATTTTGCAGAATAAACCGAACACATCTGTTCCGCATGAATGTAGATTTACGGGCTATGGAAAACAGAGCGGCGGAGTTGAAGGCCCAAATGAGGGATGTTTTGACGCGTAAACTTGGCAAGCCCCGGAAAGTGGACAAGACACTTGATGAACTACTACGCCAGCTGGCACGAAGGCACAAATTCTCAGCAGCATTATCAGCTATACCCCATTTACTAAATCAGCTTAACAAGTGGAGGGTAAAAATAATCTGTTTTGTTCTATAAAAATACATGGAAAATTAATTATTTTTATATAAAGTTATTTAATTCAAGTTGAATTTAATTATGAGATCTATGACTTTCGCTAGTATTCATTTAAATGGCTCTAATTTTTTTACGTTATTTTATTATTTTTATTACAGAGACCCAACGTTACGATTACTTTGCAACAAGCATGATATTCTTAAAAATAGTAAATAACGCGGAGTAATCTGAAAATATTAGTTTCATTCAATTGAATTCAGTACTTAAATTACAAAAAATAAAATTTATACGATCCTCTGAGACTTCCGGGTCGTGGTGTTCAGGTTTAGGCAAAATATGTATAATGATTATTTTTAAAATTATTTTATATTTTCAACAGAAACGTTACAGCGAACTTGAACAGAAATATTTAACTGCTATCAATCGTTACTCTGACCGTCTTCGCTTAGCGGCAGCACTCCAGGCCGATATTTATCCTCAAAAGGTGATCCAAAGATGAACATAAATAAAAAATATACATAACAAGATAACACTACCAACTAAATATGATTTGCTATACATTTTAGCCTCACAAAGACCCGACTGTAATGCCCGGCGCTTACGAACCGGCTCAATATCACCGCGATGTCATCCGTCTTAGAATTATAAGCGCCCAACAACAGGAGCAAATTAAGGCAACTATAACATCTTTCATATTATTTAAGCTATATTCAGGTGAAAGTATTATCTTCATCCATTTGGTTCACGGAAAGACGTTAAGAAAAAGATAATTATATCATACGTATTAATTACATATGTACATATTTGTAGGTTTTGGAGGAAGAGATTCACAATTTGCGTCTGAAGCCGCTGTCTCAGATGGTTGCTCCTTCTGAATGGTCACCATCAGAATCTGATCGATCTCAGATATATCTACAGATGGTGCCGCCGACTGCACGACCGACAACGACCAAATACTTCCCAATGTAACGTCTCTGCTACTTATTTAAGAATAAACATTATAATAAAGTAATACTCTATACTAAAATCATCCAAATGTAGACTAACTCTTTAGATAAACAGAAAATCAATATATTTTTATGAACATTCTTGAAACAACAAAAACTATTTTAAATATCGAACTGAAAAAATATTGTATACAAAAATATGTATTGTATTACTCAGAACGCCTCTTGGCTCTCGCGCAAAATTGGTGTACGAAGTAAACTTGATGAAGTTACTGTACGATTGCTTGGACATGATGCGAGTGTCCCGGGATGATGCGGAGGATTTACTGCGAGAACTTACCACAGAACTACGAAAAGTCTTATCTGGGTTGGTAAAAATATCTTTAAACTATCAAAATTGTTCAATAAAATTATAAGTACATCATTAAAATTTTAGTTCAAAAACACGATTTGACGTTGTTGATACATTGGTACGTAAGTGGCTCCTAAAGTATGGCGGTGATCCTAGCCTTTATAAAAAACAGACGCGAGCTTTTGACGCTCTCGCAACATTGGCTGACCGGCTTCTTAGCCAGCATGTAAGTTTTAACGGAAGTACACTATCCTTAGGGGCCGTTCAAGTATTACGTAAGCACTATGGAGAGGCGAGTAAGCACTATGGGGGGTCTTTGGTTGATTATTTTGGATGACATGGGGGTTGGGGAGTCTAGGTATTGATTACATCATCGGTAGTTAAAAAATATAATTAAATTTTTTTTTCTGGATTTCTATAAAAAAAACAATACAGTAATTGAAAATGTTTACGTAAGCATGGGGGGAGGGGGTAAGAGCTTTGCTTACTTTTTCTGACAAGGGGGGTGGGGGGGTAAATGATTGTAATAAATCTGCTTACGTAATACTTGAACGGCCCCTTATACATAAAAATGTATTAAAATTAAATTAATTTTTGACAGATAGAAGCAATGGAAGGAATGACACCGAAAACTCACGAAGTTATGAAATCGCTAGAGGTGGCGTTAGATAGCGTCTCTGATAAGAAACAAAAACTCGAAGAGCGAATTGGACCAGCCCTTGCTACAATTTTGCATACAACATCCATAGAGCATATGGGTAAGGAATGTCTTTTGTTAACATTTTTAAACTAATAAGATTTAAGATTTTCGCGAGTGTTCTCCTAAAGAAGCCGAAACTTCGGGTATGTCGTTTTTTACAAAAATAAAATGCGAAGTATAGTCCGAAAAATATTAGTTTCATTTAAATTTTTTAACATGTTTCTACGATTACTTACCTTTTTTTCTTTAGTTTAGTAATACCACTCTGTTATCTATACACAACAATGGATGAACTTGAAATTTAAATTAAATTGTCGAGCAATTATAATTAAATTAGGTATATAAATATTAAATTATGTAAAGACAAACTTTAAAAACTTTATTAATTTCAGATGACGAAGAAACATTGACAATGGTGATGACGTCCCTCGTGAATTCCTTAATCGACGAAGACAATCCGCTTAACGCAGAATCTATAGAAGCAATTGTAGTGGCCGACGTCGTTCAAGATATTCAAGGTCTCTCACAAAATCATTTAGTTTACAAGACTTTAAAAGCATATATCAAAACTAATCTACCTTTTCAATCATCCGCATCTTTTTTAGATTGTGGTATATTCGCACCCAAACAACAATTACAAAACTTGGTCAAAATCGCAATAAATAGTCTACGAGCACAAATTATTACTCCTGAAGAAAGACAGCAGCTGGACAAAGATGTTGAACAGGCTATGACGGAATCGGTAATTTTAATCATTTTATAGGAATTTGTTTGACATCAACTATTTTTATATAATCTGTCTTCCTTTTCAGAAAATGAGTTTACCTGATTCTTCTAGAACGGAAAAGTAACATCTGAAACTCTAGAAGACGAAACAGTTTCATATATTTATATTTTATTATAACAATACTAGTATAGTACTTAATTATTTAATTAATAAAAGTGTACTACATATTAACTGTGTATTTTTTATTAAATGCATAATATAAAGTTAACTAAAGGCCAAATTATAAAAATAAAAATTAAATAAACCTGGATACAATCACTGTACACTACTTGATCATATTTAAAAGACACCCCATGACAAATGGTTAAAAATTAAATTCAGACTTCGTTATATTCATTATATTTATACTTATCTTTGGAGGTCTAGACCTATCTTAAATTTTAAATTTTTTCAAAAAAAATATTTTCTACACGAACATTTTTAATACATATTTTCTATAACAAGAATTATTGTCGTATAATTTCGAGTTACTTTTAATAACAAATACCTAACTTATTAATTAATAAATAAAAATCAGACATTTTCCATGTAACCTTAAATTAACAGGAAAAAAACATGGTACTCCTAAAATGGCTTTTTTAAATTTAATTTTTAAATATTAGAAACATAACAATTAACCTCTTTTGCTTTACTGCTTTTATTAATATACTAGCTGCGCCCCGCGGTGTTACCCGAGGATTTCCGGGATGTAAAGTAGCCTATGTGTTATTCCTGGACGTCAGTTTCCTGTATACAAAATTTTATCAAAATTGTTTCAGCCGTTTGAGCGTGAAGAAGTAACAAACATACACACACAAACTTTCGTTATTATAATATTAGTAGGATTACTACATACTTAACAATATTTCAATAAAATGTGGAACATAGTGGATACTAGGTATAAAAATTGTATTCATGTCTATCAATTGCTTATCGGTAGCCTAGCACTATGAAAAATTTATGAAAAAAACAGCATATTATCAATGTCCGTTCTTTTCTATTCTACAGGGTGACTGGTGAATTACTATCGATACTTGAGGACGTGATATTTGACGATCATATATGACAAAATATAAATTAATATAACATAAATATTAATAAACTTCTAAGTAAAGTTGACCAAAAGTTATGTAATTAATTACGCATCGTGTGAATACCCTACAGATTAGGTATACACACACACACACACACAGGCGTGCGGCGGCGTGGTGTTGTATCAGCACGCCGCCGCACGCGTCCACACTTGGAACGTGTCCACACTTTATTTATTTATACGGAAATTTAGTAAAAAATTAAGTACCTATTTTTTTTACATAATTCGAATGAGAATCATGTACCGAGTATTCTCCTTAAATATTGATAGTAATTCACCAGTCATCCTGTATATATTGTCTTGAGAAATATATTCAAAATATTTAACGCGCTTGAAAGTCATAATTAATAAATTGAAATTAATGGCCTTTACTGATGTTAATATTTTATGCAATATATAAAATTATAAACATTTTTTTCTATATATCTTAGGAAATCTATCTCTTAATTTCTTAGGCATTTTGTATTTGTCATTTTGAAAGACTGAACTTCATCCTGACATTTATTGACAATTGACATTCGTAAGACCGCGAAATGTTTATTTTAAAGACAACATTGTTTTTTTATATTATATGCTAAATTTAATATCCTCGACCTATGAAAATATTTTAAAATGCTGCTGACAGATTTGGATCTAAACAAACTGTCGAAACTAGCATCACAACAAATAGACCACGTAACTTGTATAGAATGGTAATTTATTTGATCGTCAGAATTTTTATTCACGTTTAGTACTTTGTATTTAATATTTCTATTTGATTTTAGTTGTAAGTATTATACAGTACCCACAACAGCAGCCTGTGGTCACTCATTGTGTAATTCTTGCTGGCGCGGTCGTAGAATCTGTGCTTCTTGTGGAAAATCTATCGAGAAGAAAAATCTAAAATTAAATATTCCACTCCAGACTCTCACTGAACATATTTCAAGTCTATCTAAAACCTTAGAAGACCTCTTTAATATTAAGTGTAAGTGTATATTCTCTTAAACAGTTAGTTAAATTTAAAATTAAATGTCGTAAACATTATTGTTAAACTATAAGTTTTATCGAATTTAAAGTATTTATTGATATGTTTTAATGTTACAGTGGATGAGTATTTACTAGATTCACCCATAGAAAATCAAGATGAACCAAATAAGAATGTTAAAGAATGGTTGGCAAGTTCACAAAACCAGTTTTCAGCTCCTATTACAAATTCTACCCAATCAACTCAAGGACAGATAGAAGCAGAAAAAGTTACTAGTGAAATACAAGTTCATTCTGTTAATAAAAGAAATTCAAATCATAAAGAAGTTATTCATATTCCGCTTATACAAGATGACTGGGACAACATAGAAGAAATGCCCGAGACAGACAAAAATACTAATAAGAATCAAGAAAATGTTGTCGGTCCTATGGATATTGAACCTTTTGAATTTATGATGGATGATGAGTATAATGCTAATAATCTTCGACGTAGCTTAAGGAACAAAGATAATAAGTCTCCTAACAGTGAGCTTAAACAGGATTTCCAACAAGATAAAATAATGAGTGGAGACACAAATAAAACATCTGAAAAAAGTAGCCTCAAGGTAGCTAAAACTTGGACTAATGTTAAAAGAATGAAAAAAGAATTCAGTAAATTAAACAAAAAGCATAGAAATAAACTGAATGTATCTATAGAAATGTGTAAAAAGAACATAAATAAAATTGCTCCACCAGTAACTCCGGAAAATTTATATACTATTGAAGATAATACGCCACAAATCATAAATAATGAAAATAGTGATGAACTCATAAATAACTGTGATGTTAATAAAATAAATGATGCCGAACAAGTTATAAGCACTGATCCTGTAAAAAATAACATAACAAATAATGTAACAAGTCATAAAATTGTAAATGAAAATAATGAATTACCTCCGCCTAAAGTGGCTTTTGTTAAGAAAAGTACTCTTATATACAAACCGCAAGAAATAAATAATGTAACAATTCCAAAAGAAAAACATTCAACTGGAGTAGCTGTAAACAATGATGATATAGAAATTACTATAAAAATAGGAAATACTCTTACAAGCATCTGTATAAAGAAAAAGGACAATGATGTACAATTAAAAATTAATTCAGACAGACAAGTTCAGACATCCCTAGAAAATTGTAATGAGAATAAAAATGATACATCCAATTCAAAAATTACCATTAATAATGTGGAAAATACTGTCCGTTGTGAAAATACTCCCAATACAAATACAGTTTCCAAGATAAATAGTGTGAAAAAAACAGTCTCTAAGAAGAACACAGCATCAGCTGACACAAGCACTGCTCAGTTTGAAATAACAAAGAGCATTGGAGAAGAAATGATGAAATCGTTAGACATTAACCAAGAAAGTATTAAGAGAACACCATGCAGAAATATACTACAAGAGAATAAAACTCAGACAGTATTAAACAAAATAAGTGAAATTCCCGAAGATGCTGATATGGATATATTTGATACTGACTCAATTAAAGAAGCAAGTGTCGCCTCAATAAAATCTGCTAAAAATACGCCATCAGCCATTCTGCCTTCCTTCAGACCATCGAAAACTAAGACTCCGACATCCGATAAAAGGAATAGGGAAAACGATTTTGGTGAAAATCTGCCGTGTAGCAAAAAAAGAAAGATCACACCATGCAAAGATATTCAAGCAATCAATGAAATGAAAGACATAGATAAATCTATGGAGCATGATCAAGTCAATGATGAGGATTTCTGTGAAATGTTAGACAACATAAATACTATGGAATATGCAAAAACTAATATGAAAGAAATAAACAAATCTCAGGACATTAAACAATTAGAAAAAACACCAACACAAATAAGTGCTATAAATAATTCCTTTGATAATAAAACATCAAAAGACAAACACATTGAGAAATACAGTGAAAATGTATTTTCTATGCTGGATAATGAATCTCAAATACTGAAATCATTTAATTATAAGGTAAATTTAGTATAATAAGATTAATTTAAACTTCAATTCTATAATAAATGTTCTATTAAAATTAATTGCCTCAAAAATATATATATCGAGATTATATAGAGAAAATGCCGCTCCAATAATATTATTTATAAATAATTTGAAGCTAGTTTTAGCTAAATATTAATTAATATTTTTCAGACACAACAAAGTCAATGTAATAAAGATTCTGTTGTAGAAAAGGTAAATAATCCCAAAGCGAATGCAGATTTAGATGTTATGGAGCTTTGCACTCCTGTGCTTGATGAAGATTCAGACAAAAGCGTAGTTGAAGATACACCACAAAAGTAATACAATTAATTACAACGAATAATAAAATATTTATATATGCAATAACAGGAAATTTAATATCAAAATATATGTGTTACAGGACAGCATCTTTCTCTAAAATACGAAACAAAAACGAATCAACCGCCAACAGCAATAATATTACTATGAAAGAAAATATAAAACTCAAAGTTCAAAACAGACAAACAGATATCGAGGCAGATATCATTAGTTTATCTGATACAGTCGGAGATTCTACAAAAAATATTACAGTACTAGAAACATTACCTCGACCAACATTGGAGACTCCGGTCACAATAACAAAATTTGTGGACCAAATAAAACATAAATCTACGCCCGTAGCAAAAAAATCACTTAAATTTAATAATGAAAACAGTATCGGTGACATCACTATGTGTCCAAGCTCGTTGGTAGTCGCAAAAACCACACAAGAAAAGGAATTCTTGAGCAAAGCATTCGAACAATCCATTGATTCAGAATGTGTGAGACACAATGAGAGGTTACTAAAATTTTGTATCGCCGGATCATGTCTGACCACTGCTGAACAGAGTAAGGTTAAAATGCTATGCTCGAAAAGGAATTGGACATATGTTGAAAAATATACTAAAGATTTAACACATCTTATTGTTGGTGTGGATAAAGACAATAAAGCACAACGGTAATTCTATAACATTATTATACAAATTCTTTCATATCTATAAAAAAGGCATATATTTTATAATTGTACATATAAAAATGTATATTATATTTTTTATTTGATTTAAAAATCAATCGATTTTAAATTAAAAATAATAGTCTTGGTGGATTTTCATTTGGATTTTGCTCAATATATTTGCGAAAAGGCAATTTTGTTCTATCGTTTCATCTAAAGATAAATTAGATAAACGTAAAAAAAATAAGATTTATTTTAAATTGTCATGACTTATTATATATATTTTTTCTTTATGTATTTTTATGTATTGATGATAAAATTTAATATTACTTGTATAAATAATGAAAGGTTTTTTCAGATCTGTTAAATACATATGTGCTATAGCTAGTGGGAAATGGATAATCACATATAAATGGATTGAAAAATGTTTACAAGTAAATGGTGTGGTAGATGAGGTATGTAAAGATATTAAAATAACATTCTTTTAATTTCAAAATATCTTAAAAACTTATAAAATTATATAGCTTATGTTATCTCTTTTGCGTATTATAGAGCTGCATGAAAATTCAGGATAAATTATAGCCTTTGTCTAATTTTGATATCGTAAGATAAAATTTTATCAAAATCTGTTAACGTTTGACAAAACTTTTACATATTACATATATGAGGTTTTTATAAGCAGTGAGTAGTACTAATTATTATCACATTGGCTGTAAGGCGGCGCTAGTAGCGGCCCGGTCAAAGTTATTTCAATTTATTTTCGATAGATGGCGTTCATACCATATCATAAAACGAATTAAATTATAAATCTCTATGAACACTTATTTTGAGATTGTATGAGTGAATATATGTTAGTGACATTATAACAATTAACATTTATGTATTTTATCAAAATTTATGCACTATGAATAGCTTATTTTCTTGTATGGAGTCTGTACCACTGCATGCAACCACACACACTTTGGCACTTTAATATTACTTTTGTACTAAGCGAAGTCAATTGCTGTCACAAAATGCATTACTTTTCTCATGTACATGAATATATATATGAAAAATAACAAGTATTCTATACTAAATTATGTAATAAATAAACTTTATAATGTTGTATGTATGTTTTTTGTATTATAGGAACCATTCGAAGCGTTAGATGCTTCAGGCGAACCTGGTCCAAGACGCTCTCGTTTGTCGAAACAAAAACTATTCACCGGCATCAGCTTCTACTGTATGCCGCCGTTCAGAGTCATAGATGTCGATACTTTGAAGGTAATATTAAATAGTACATTAAATATTAATAAATATTTTGTAAGACGATTACTGAAGTGAAACTTTTTATGCGACTCCCAACAAGGTTGCGTTAAACGTTTAACGCTGAAAGACAGAGAAAGAAAGATACACAAATGTAAGAAAGTAGGAAAGAGATAATGAGAGTGAGTCTTTAGTTTCCAAGCACATGCGCATAATATTCTTGCTATACAGCGAAGTACAAAGTGTAAACGTCGTGATATTAGCTAAATACGTACTTGTTGTTCTATGTTAATTAATTTAAAATATTCATTAATTTTTAATTTTATTTGATAATTTATTTTTAATTCAAAAATCCGAAACCTCACTTCTTCCTAGTAAGTAACTCCTCGCACTGTCTATTTATTTGATTACTATAAGACTTTAAAATATGGTTCTTTTTACATACAAGTTTATTTAACACATTACTGGTAATTTCTAGTATTTTTATATTAACGTGTATGAAATATGTTGTAGGACATCATCGAGTGTTCGGGCGGCCGCGTGATTGTTGATGCCAAGGAGGCCCGGGCGTCTGTCACACCGTCACTGATGTTAGCCGAACCCGAAAATACACAAGAGGACCGATTCATATGTACGTGTATTATTGACGTTTGTAATTTATATGATATGAATACTTATAGGTTTGTATGTCCACGATTTATGAGACACTTACATAATGTGATTTATAAGATACTAGATGATCCGGCGAACTTCGTATCGCCCTATAATCAAGAAATATCTGTTACGTTTTTTTAATAAATAAATTTAGGTTATACCTTAGCCTCAGAAACACTTGATGGTTATGCTATTATCAAATAATCGCTCATATATGACATTTGTATTTTTTATCTATCGCCATCTATTGAATACTTACTTAACTCAGTCAACAGATAATTGTAATAATGACAAATAAAATTCTTTAATAAACAAATAATTTGCAATAAAATAATATTGTGATTATAAATTCAGATGTAAGCTATTCTATCTTTCAAGTTGGATCAAAATGCACACGGAATGCAAATCAAATTTAAAATCGGTCTAGTAGTTTGTGAGTCCATGGCGGACAAACACGTGACACGAAATTTGTATATATACAGGGTGACTGGTGAATTACTATCAATACTTGAGGACGTGATATTTGACGATCATATATGACAAAATAAAAATTAATATAACATAAATATTAATAAACTTCTAAGTAAAGTTAACCAAAAGTTATTTAATTAATTACGCATCGTGTGAATACCCTACAGATTAGGTATACACACACACACACGCGTGGCGTGTTGTTGTATCAGCACGCCGCCGCACGCGTCCACTCTTGGAACACTTGGAACGTGTCCACGCTTTATTTATTTATACGGAAATTTGGTCAAAAATTAAGTATCTATTTTTTTACATAATTCGAATGAGAATCATGTACCGAGTATTCTCCTTAAATATTGATAGTAATTCACCAGTCATCCTGTATAAAGATAACCATCGTTATTTGGAATATAATGATGAATATGTATGAGAAATATTATAAAATCTCAGAGGATATTTGTGCCTTAATGACCAGACCCAACATATTTCTGTATTCGCGAATTTTAAGGCGCGTTGTGATGATAGATCACGCCGTTTCTTGGAAAAACATCTCCAAAGACCATGCCATCAAAGTCAATAAGTATTACGAGCTCACTAAAAACTCACAGAATAGGTTCGTTGTAAATTTATATACGGTAGAACTTGAACCGAAAGATATAACCGCTAAAACTCTCTACAACCTACTAAAAGACTTGTACAGAACTAATATCAATTCATTCTTGGAACATACTTTGAAGACAGCAAAAGTAGGTTCGCTTTAAATTTGGTTAGGTAGAAAGAGGAGCTTGGACAGTGGAGATGAGTGTATAACGCGTGTTAAATAGGGGTCCCGTAAACCTACACTTGGGTCGCAAGTCCCAGTCACTGTTGAAGCTCCTCTCCCTGCAACGATGGACCCGGTACCCGCACGGTGAATCCATAGAATGCTGAGAGGTTTCGTCTCTACTATAATAAATAATATTTAAACAAAATCTATATGTAATTTTTTACCTTCCACTTGGTTCATTTGTAAAACTATCAGTAATAAGTGGTTTTGCTTATACACATATATGCTTAATATGTACACAGTAAAATAGTTTTTTAAACCAGTTTATGTTTATTTTTAATGGAAGATGTCCACATAAGTTAAACATTATAAAATAGTGGTAGCATAAATTAAATCTATTATTATTATTAATAAAAATCTATTATTATTACTACATGCATGCTTAATCATAAAACTACATTTATACAATCTGTCTAACATTCACAATGATGGCAGTATTTTTTTTTGAAAATTCTTGAAAAGGTTTAAATAGTCACAGTTTCTCAAAAAAAAGTCTACAGTCGTTATAAAAAGACTCTAATTATTAAACTGATAAGTCGGATATGGACTACAATTTTTGAAAAATTGTCGGAATTTCGTATGACAATTTTTTTTTCGTTTATTCCCCCAACAATAATTCTCCAATGCCATAAGGTTAATGACCTCACAAGCCGCATAGCAAAATATAAATCGTTTGTTTTTTTTTTAATTTGCCTATTGGACAATTTAGCTTTTATCTACTGTTAAGTATATTTCAAACACTTTCAGCCCTCTATATTCATACTATAAAATAAAAGATACATTTAATTTCTATTTTATTAAATTAAGAAAATATTAATAATATAAATAAGTTTCAATACAGTAACAAAATTAGAATAGAAACAGACTTGTATGAAAAAGAAATCATTTACATCTGGAATTATTACCAGAAGTTGCAGGTTCAAATCCTGTTTGTATCGATGAGCTTTTGTTCTACATATATGTTATAGTAACATTTTTTAAGTTTTTAGTGTTAGTAAAATTTTAGCACTTAAGTTCAAAATAATAATGAAAGAAAATTTTTCGCTGCGCTTTTTAATAACGTCTACCTCGGTGACAGTATATCAGCTTATATGCACATACATATATATTTAATATTATACCGTAGGAGTATTTATAAATATTTGCCACTTTTCAATATAAATTCATAACTTTACTAAACTGTTAGCCCTGTCAATAGAAATACTAATCAGTAGTCGTCTTAAATACGCAGTATAAGTTGAATACAATAAATTTAAAATTATTGCCATATAAATATATTCCCCCATTCAACTGGGTCTAATCTTTAAATCTAAAAAAATGTGATCCTATACATTAGCTAATTGTATATGTATATAACATGCTAATAATAAGTTATCGAGGAAATAGATGTCTTAAAATATAAATACAATAACAATTAAAAATATATTTGTTCCTACTTGTTATTGATAATATCTTGGCATACAGTTATAGTTTAATTGCGACTTTAGATACATACGTAATGTTTTTATTCAATATAATCTATTTACAAAATAATAATATGTATTGCGTATGAGTAATTAATATACTATTTTGTATTTAAAATAAAAAAAATAGTATTGCAATGAAACTTTTTGGTGACTGATAAAAAACAGGTAATGCAAATTGCATCAACAAGTTTGATACTTTTGACATGTACTTTTCCCGCCTAAATTTCCTCATGTGTAATTATAGATACTTATAATACATTTCTTCACAGATCTCGCTGTGGAGCTGGGTGTGGTGCCAATAAACTACGAATGGGTGCTCAATTGTCTTGGAAACTTCTCGTTGGAACCCATTTACGAACTATTATTATGTCCGGCCTCTCTGTTGCCGCCGATCGTTGCAAAATGGCCGCCAGAACTTATATCACATGATGTTGAATAAATATTGCATCATCTTGTTGTTTTTACTTTTGTTTTACATTTATTTTTCTGGAATTGTATGAGTAAAGTAGATTTTATTCCTTTTTAATGTCTGTGAGACACAATCTCGTTAGACTTTGTCATATTCTAATGAAAACATATTTTTATTTAAAAAATAGGTACCATTTCCAATACTTTTCTGAACCCTAAGCAATAAAGTAACCAAATTAACTTAAAAAAAGATTCTACCACAACAATTTAATGTCTTACAAATTGGGACACGTAATGTGAAAGTTGTTTTAGATTTTTATTTTATGTTTCTATTATGTATAAATCTACTTATAATTGGTCGTTTGGGTGGAAATTTCGTAATTTTCCTTTTGTGTAATTTTGAAATAATACCACAATAACGATTTGAAATTAATATTACTAAGCATTTTAAGGCATTAGTTCAATATTAAGTTATGATAATCATTGGAATTCTAAACTACATTAACAGTAGATATGCTTAATACTTATTATTTGCATAGTTTTAAAAAGCCCTTGATCACGGTTGCTGCAAAGTAACCGAAACATCGGGACTATGCAGATAAAATAATTTAAATCGTGTACCTAGTACCTAAATCCGAAAATATTATTTTATTTAAATTAATAAGAAAATCTTATATATATCATTTGTTTACATAGTCGCATAACTTACGGAGCATTAACGGTTTTTCTATTGTAGATCTCCGCACAGTAGGTACAGTATTAACGTAAGTGTTACAATGAGAAACGGGAACGACTTCGTATGTAGAGTAATAATGTAAACTCATACTAAGTATACTGAATTTGTACCACTTAAATAGTTTGTCAGATCTACAATATAACTGTTTAATTATAAGCACTTAAGTCTATGTGGCTAAGTAATTATCATTACTTATAGTGTTGGACGGAGCTCTTTTCAATATGGCCATATATTTTCGGGTTTATGAAATTAACAAATGAATCTTCTGTTTACGAAATGCCACCAAATCGTTATGGGCAGACAAATCTCTTACGACCCAGCTCAACTATTGTCCGCGATCTAAATAAGGTTTGTGGTGCAAAATATTATTATTAATGTAATAAAAGACACAAGATATTTCTCATACATTTACTACCGAGACAGAACTTTTTAAGACTACGCCTACAACTAGTTTTTACACTACGTACAGAGAGTTTACAACTGTTCATTCAAATATCTTCACTTAACACTTAATAATATGAATAAAAGTTATTGATAACGAAACGGAAAACAATTGGTATGTAGGATGCCGATGCAAAAATTATAGGATATATCCTGATTTTACGAAATGATTTTTCAGAACGTAATCTATTTATTCATTAAACGTTTTTAAGTACATGTATGGAAAAATCCATTAACGAAATCAATTTTCCAATTGTAATCTAAATGGATGTGATTCATAACCGACCACGTGGTGACCGGTGACTGGTTTGCATCCGATCATACGATGTACTGTGTACATCATAATCGTGTGCCCCTTAGACCCACGAGGTCCAACACGTTTCTCTCACGCGATGACGCTACGTCTGTTCAATCTCCATTAAACATGTTAACTGCACTTTGCACCCTTTTTTATAACGATTCTTTTGAACCCGTAGCGATATAACTGTTTAGGTGTAGGTATCTATTTACCAATTAACCTTATACTCAGCTAGAACTTTCTCATTAATAAAAATAAGTAATCAAGCAATAATTAATGCAGTTTAATTGTTATAAATATTTAATTATATAAGTACCTTTGTTAATTTTTACTTAGTTAGTTTACTAAAAGATTTTAAATAAAAAAAAATAGTAAAAGAGTTGACATTATGCAAGACTTACATATTTACGTAAACTTGGAAGCTCAACGGGAATTTAACAGTTATTTTAAGACTAGAATTATTTTTGAACGAAGTTAAAAGAAATTTCGTTTTTTTATCTACAATTTGTAAATACAACTGTGGTTTTTGTTCTACTTACATTGGCCTAATTTATTATTATTATCTATTTAAAAACTCTTAACTATGTCCAATTACAAATTTATTATACTTATTAACTCAATAGTTTAGTTAAATAAAAAAATGACTGTTTTTATAAAAAAGATAAATAAGTGTATATTACTTTTTATAATATTATGGCAAATCATAAATATTATATAAGTAATCTAGTAGAATAATTATCAATTTAATAGATTTTTTTTTTGTATAAAGAAATAAAAATTACACGAATGTATCAATATGCTAAACAGCTGGTTAGTAGAAAACCTTGCTTGTGTGGTCAATGGTCCGCAATGAACAGCTTTAACCATAAAAACATCATTGTATATGAAATTAGAAACCAATATATATATATTCTAAAGGTTTGATATAGGATGCATTATATTTAGGACCTGATAAAAGGACCATAGTCGTAGCATCAAGCCGTAGCCGAAATATCAATAATACAGTGTGTCCTACCCTTAAGGGTATTTCGGGGGGAAAATTAAATTATATTACAATATATGTGATATATTAAGTCGAATATTAGGTTTTAATGGCTATAACGACTAAGGTGATCGATTAGTTTGGCTTCGGAGTTTGGATTGTGACCACCAGAAATGTAAATCTTATCACAAATACCTATATAATTATATACGCTTCGCTCAAGTTAGAATAAAGGCCCCCACGAAAAATTTTATTCAAGTGAGAATTTAGGCTACACCTCGGGCTTTACTTTCTATTGTCTGAATAAATATATGAGGTTGAACACATCTGCCTATTTCATATAAAGAGCGATTCTCGATTTTCCATTATCATCATGAAATGCTAAAATATAAGAGAATACTATATAATTGTTTAACCATAAAGGTTGTCTACGTACCTATTATGTAAATAAAAAAAGGAGATCTGAAAACAGATATTTAAATCATTACAATAGATCCTTTAAAAAGATCAAGTTATTGAACTTTGAAGTAAATATTTTCAATTCCGCTTTTTTTCTAATAAGATTGAAAGTTGAGAAAATACAATTTGTTTATTACAGTAAAATATTTTATTATGAACGATCTGTACCTATACTGATATACCATCATTTTTAAGGGCTTGTGTAAAGTAATTCTAAACTTATACGAAAAGCGTTACTGACTCAATTTTCAGTTGGTTGTGAAATGAGAAATAACACGATCAAAAAAGTCATTTCGAACGATGGGTTGGCTACGTGACGTGGTACTAACATCGCGCCACCTTGTCATCCAATCCACGGTGTGCTTGCTTGTCGCCGCATTGACTTTTAGTTCGCATTAGACCGCTACACGCTGCATGAAACGCGACGAGTCATTTCGGTTTTAATAATATACTTGAGATATTAAATAGTTATCGATAAATATAATTTTCCGAAAACTATTGACCTAATTTATTGCATCATTATAAACAATATATGTATATAAGTAAGTGCAAAAGTGTTTAAATAAGTTCAGTAGTAGTATAGAACCAGTGATAGGAGTTGTTATATTTGTGTTTGTGTTTTTTTAATATTATTTGGTAAGGCGGTAATTTAAAATTATAAAGTGATAAAAATTAAAACGGCTTAGGTATACAATTTCTGCTATTATTTATATTTATTTCACTTACTAGGTTAGTTATTATGCGTTCATATTTTCTATTTAACAATAAAATAAACTCTATATAAACATTAAAACGTTTGCTTTTGTGTGCTAAGTGAAAATAATAATATATTTCGAGGATATTTACGAACCGGCAAAATTGCTTAGGCTCTTAAAATATAATATTTAAACTTCTATATTTAGTATATATTTTTAGTTTAGCTGTTCGTAACGAAATAATTTTTAAGTAACGTTAAAAAATTAACTACGATATGCGTTTTTTCCATTTTCGCCAATAAAGCAAATTGCAAAATGACATTTTGAAATTGTCACATTTCAGTTTCAGCCACGGGAGAAATTAATATTTTTCAAATTTTTATGTAGGTATAGTTTCATCTTTCTGTGCGATTAAAATAATGGTCAATTCTACATAAGATTTCACACTCAACGTCAAAATTTACTTAGTATTAAAAATGATAGCAGTATAAAATTGGATTAATTCTTGTGTTTGTTATAATCGCTTTTGACTGTATTGTATTGTTCGGGTTTATACAGATCATTTTAGAACGTAAATTATATTAAATTGTCTCATCAAGAAACATAGCGTATTATAAGTAAAGGCATTGAGATAATTAAACCTACATTATTTTAGGCGAAAATGGCACCGAATTCGAGTGACGCCAACGGGGTGTTATTTGAAACGGATGCAGCCACACCAGATTTGGCTCTTCCTAACACTCCAATCCAACAAGCAGACAGTTACCCAAGAAAATATGTATGGAGAAATATCATTGCATTTACATATTTGCACATAGCTGCATTATATGGCGGATATCTCTTCCTATTCTCTGCGAAATGGCAAACAAATGTTTTTGGTGAGTATCTGAAACTTTTACATTATTTCACATTAGTACAAGTGGCTTTCTCATTGTTGATTTAGATTATCTAATCTGATATTTTTTTGTATTTTATTAACAAAATTTGTTATTTTTACCTTCAGTATATAAGTTTTAATAAATTTTTATTTCAGCTTACATCCTGTATGTTATGTCTGGGCTGGGTATCACAGCGGGGGCTCACAGACTCTGGGCTCATAAGTCATACAAAGCAAAATGGCCATTGCGTGTTATACTTGTAATTTTCAATACTTTGGCATTCCAGGTAAGAATATCAAATATTTATATGTTAAATACACTATCATGTGACTTGGCAAACATACAAATATAGTACAACACTGCATACCACACATTGAATAGAGTTGCAGTCTGTCTTTTCGCTTTTTCAATATATATTTTTTTATATGGATATTTTTTTGAGGTATATATAATGTTTAACTAAAAGTAAATCTACAACAAAGCATTCTATATAGAATAAACATATACACATATTAAAGGTAGCTAAAAGTTAGCATATTACTAAATCATATCAAAAATATATGAAAATAATTGAGAATAATGAGAATTCTCTGTGGTATGATAAAAAACTTGTCCCGTAAAATTATTTAAAAACTAATTTTATGCTTATATTATTATTGGAACAAATTTTGCAGTAGAAATATTATAATAATTAACTCTTAGAGAATAAAAATAATTTAAAATGCCTTTCGCTTAAAACCTTATTAGTTACAATATATAAATCTATAAAATTAATTTATTCAACTAAATATCTTTAATATTTATTTTTTTTCAGTCTTTATCTTGATTATAATTTTTCTTAGCACTTGATAATTTTGAATACTTTATTGTATTAAATACCGTGACATCTTAAAGAGTGTAAAACAGATAAGAATAATACAATAACAAAATATTACATGGCTTTTATTAGGATTTTTTTTATTTAATTCAAATAAGAATTAAATTTCTGATAATTGTAAGGAATAATGTTCGTCTCTTGACAGCATGTACAAGGCATGTTACTTATATGGCCGCAGCATTGTTATTTAAAATCATGCTTTATACCATGCTTAATACTTTGTTGTGATCATGTACACTTTATCTCTTTGTTGAATCATGTTGACAAGGGATCAATCAATGTCATGATAAAAATTACCAAATTTATATCTCATGACATAGTTTATATATATATGTTCAAGGGACTTGCATTTGAATTCATTGTGTTTGTTGTACAATTTTCCTGTCCTCAAATTGTATTTGGCTAACGGCTATCCCTATTTCCTCCTGGCCATGTTTGTAATTTGAATAAATATTTGATTACCTAAAACCATTTAGACCTTTCAATAGTCGTTTGAACAAAAGATTTGAAGGTCATTACCATGTCTGTGTCACCGATATTTGTTTTCTTTTCCTTTGTTTGATGAGGATTTTGCAAATAATTATTATGTTTAGTCGGAACAAATGTTGTGTTTGCTTTGTTAACTAGGATACATATATTTATTTATTTATTTATTTATGTACCAAACAGAAAAAAATAGTTACAATAAAAGTATTATAAAAGAAATGTGATGTACAAGGATAACTTATCTCTTAAAAGAGATCTCTACCTCTATATTTGGTATTGTAAAGTAATTGTTATTATTTGAATATTTGTTCTTTGTTCTTTTTACATTTGCTTTTTATTGTTAATATGTTGATCCAAATTTCCTGATAATGAGATTGATCAGATGACTATTGTTTAAAATCTTTGTTTGCAACTTTTTTTATTATTTTGATGCATTTATTTTATTAGTAGTATTTTTAGATATTTTTTCTCCTTTCGTAAAATAATGAAACTTAAATCTGCTTATAATATTTTCGTTAAAATTTAATCTGTCGTTTGAAAAATAGTTTTCAATAAACTGACAAACATTTTTATAAACGTTTATTATAGGATCGCAGCAAAACCATTATGTAGAAATATAATAATGATTTTAACTTCTTTGTACATATATATACTATTTAAATGTCCGATTCTAACTGTAGCTTCTAGCCGATTTTGCGAAACAGTCTATCATTAAATTCGTTTCGCTCGGTATTTGACCGCGTTAAAGTGAAATTTAAACCTCACAAAGTGCAAGGTCAAACCCATCACGTAATATTATAAAGTAATTTTTAATTTCAATTATAAAACCACATATTTTATAATTAAAAAACATAACCACATAAAACACATAAAAACGCCTTAAATAAAATATAATTATAATAATCATACATGTGAATGACGTATTACAAAAAAAATACCCAGAAAAGAAGGAAATATTTTATTTAACTAATATTTTATTTAACTTTTTTTTAATATGAATTAGTTTTTTGCTAAATGCACTTATAAGAATACAGTAATCACATTGTATTCTCAGCAACTTGATAACATGTTACACGGCGTCTGATAAGAATGACCTCACGTGACAATAGTTTGTCCTTCATGCACTATGTCCATTATAAGAAGAAACTGGTATCCAAATTGGATACCATGTATATATATATATGAAAATATATATATGAAAATATTGTTTACTTCTGAGTTGTGGGTCTATTTAAGTCTGGTTACATGAATAAGAAGTTAAATTTCGTTAAATATCGTATTTACACTGTTAGTGGATTTTTAAAATGTCTATAAATGTTTTATAATACGCCCTTTCTTTATAGAGTTTTTTTTATATATAGCCTAAATCCTTTTCGTATAAAAGCTTTGTCATTGCACATTCTACAGGAATGTTTTAGATCAGTAACGCCTCGTTGTTATGCGTTAGTCCAAACAAAAAATCTCCAAGTAATGATGATGTAAAGTTGATGTAACTACACGCACACAGACACACACACACATGTACAAATGTAAATACACATGAGAGTATATTACGTATTTATTATTACAAAGCACAGAAAAAATAAATGGATAATAAACTATAATATAGCTTTCATAAAAAGAATACCACATATTGAATATAATATGTAGGTATTTCATTATATTTGGTCACAGTTTTAATTATAATCCAAGGCCAAATATTTTTTCTGATACATTTTCCCATCATATTACTTGTAATGAATTTAATTTCATTATTACTTTACAAGTTGTTCTTAAATTTTTCGTGATGTCACCTCTAGCCAATACTAAAAATAGATATGTAGGTATATGCGTCATTTGTTATTAGAATTCTTGATATATATTGAGTTTATATGGACAATATTTGGAATACTTCTAAGTTGGCCAATTAGTGTAATAAAGAAGAGAAATATTGGAATTTTAAACTCAATTTCATTATACCGTACGCTTTCCCAAGTTAGAACTACATACGTAGCGTTAACAGTTTTCATTTATAAAGCTTCGCACGCTACATTATTAATGAGAAACGAGATACGCTCCGTATGCTGTGACGATGCAAACTCAGACTAAGCAATAAGCATACAATACCACGTTCGTGACTATAAGACATAAGTTTTTTATTCTCCACTTAATAAAATACGGTAACATAGTCCTATACATTTTTTATTACTATTAATTTCAAAATATATCAATAGGTCATTCAATAAATACATACTATTATTATTACATGTTTTTATGCAACAACATGAATGTGTCTTTATATCATATTTTTTTCATCTAGGACTCTGCTATTGATTGGGCTCGTGATCATCGTATGCACCACAAGTATTCGGAGACCGATGCCGATCCTCATAACGCTACACGAGGCTTCTTCTTCTCACATATCGGCTGGCTTCTGGTCAGAAAACATCCCGAGCTCAAGAGGAAGGGCAAAGGTCTAGACCTGAGCGATCTATACGCTGACCCAATCCTTCGCTTCCAGAAGAAGTGAGTCTGAATTTAATTATAGATATTTTGACGAAATTATAGCCAATTATCCAATTATCCGGTTATTTCTCGCCTACGTCTTGAGTTGTTCTATTAATTCCTTCTAAGATTTTACATATAATCAGACCATGTAATTTTTGCGAAGTAGTTGGACCCTCAAGAAAATTGTAACATTTTATGCACGTTGCATAGTTTTGGTGATGGTATTGACTAACATGAATAAATGTTTCAGATACTACCTTCTCTTGATGCCTATCGGTTGTTTCATCCTGCCGACAATTATCCCGGTCTATTTCTGGGGAGAGACGTGGACGAACGGCTACTTCGTGGCGGCCATGTTCCGTTATGCGTTCATCTTGAATGTGACCTGGTTGGTAAATTCCGCCGCCCACAAATGGGGTGATAAGCCCTACGACAAAAACATTCAGCCCTCCGAAAACATGTCAGTTTCACTGTTCGCTTTGGGCGAAGGCTTCCACAACTACCACCACACATTCCCGTGGGATTACAAAACCGCTGAACTGGGTAATAATAGGCTGAATTTCACGACTACCTTCATAAATTTCTTCGCCAAAATCGGTTGGGCCTATGACCTTAAAACTGTTTCTGATGAGATCGTGAAACAACGAGTCAATCGTACTGGCGATGGAAGCCACCATTTGTGGGGATGGGGAGATAAAGATCATTCCAAGGAAGAAATCAGAGCCGCCATAAGAATCAATCCGACAGATGACAAAGAGGAATAATTTCAGTATGTACAGAAACTGTCCCATACGTTACGATATCTTCACTATATACATAGATCTGATTTTGTATCAGAATATAAATTTTAAGAACCATAAATATTATGGTTATATAATATGTTTTCGCTTATTTATTTAATATAACGAGTAGTTTTCGAATTTAGTGACATTGAAAATGTCTAAGAACACATATTATAATACATTACAGTAGAGATTAAAATAATGAAGCAAAAAAAAATAATTTTTAAATGCTTTGTATGATTTATTTTGTTTAAATTAATAAGTATGTAGTTTTGCATATTGATTGCACCAATTGCTTAGTTAGGTGTTGTGTTGGGTATATTAAGTGGTTATCTGTTAGCCGAGATATATACAGGATTTGAAACAAATTAATTAGTTTGCATAATTGATATCAGAAATTAATATTAAAAGTGGTTAACGTGAAACCTTTAATTATACCCTTATTATATAACTGAGTACAATATTGTGTGATGGGTAACACATCAGTATTAAAACCATTCATAGTAGATCGTTTGTGAGCACTAGTCTATAGAGTTTTGACTGAATAACCCAGTTTTCGTAGAATCGAATTAACTTAGGATATAATTTTGTAATCGAATATTGTTTTTTAATTGCATTAATTTGGCGTGGACTTTGTTGGACCACTAGACAAGTGGATTTTATATCTATGGGATTTTGGACTGATGTGTAAGAGAAATGTGATATTTAGATGGATAAATAAAATAGGAATGGAAATGTGTATTTAACAAAACAGTTATGATCAATAATTTATTTAATATTTTTTTGTATGTAAGCAAAAAGTTTGAATATAATTTTCATAATTGGATGTTTTATCTGTCATTCATTGTTTCATACTCAGTGTTGAGCTGGCTTCATATAGTGAGTACTTATAAACTGTGCATCATGTTATTTAATACAAATATATTGCACCGTGTGAAGCAGGCTTCCCTTAGATTAATTAAGAGATAACTATTATGCCCATAATGTTGCTGTTCTAAAATATAACATTATAAAGTAACATTGTTTTTTTATTTGTGCAATTCCTTTGTAATTTTTATTCTGTGTTTATAATATAGCAATACTTTTTATATATACAATTAAAATGGCAAAAATTTTGTCGTAAACTATAACAATATATATATAAAAATATTTGAATTATTTAACATAAATATATCTTTATTAGCATTTGTAATGGACAGCTCTAATAACAGTCCCGTGTTTGAATAATTTAAAATCTTATTAACTAATACTTTATTAGCTACAAGCTTATTTAACTATTTTAATATAATTTAACCATTTTGAGATTCATGAAGTTAATGTGCAAAAATTTTATTAACACTTACTGTTTAATTATGCAACTTAGCTTAATCGTAATGTGTCTTAGCGGTTCACCAATGATAAATGAAAGCAAGCGTCTTTAAAAATATTACTTTGACTCGCAACGCACTTCCAAATCGATTTTAGTACTTTTATTTTCGGATGGAGACCACGAAACTGGTTTCTTGGCGTCGCTTTGTCATACATCGGATCATATGTTCTCTTCGTAGAACAAATCTTGCTCGTCGCATTTGTCGGGAAGGCATACGAAGAACTCTATGAGATTCATCAGCGGGCCTCTAGAGAATGGATTTTGGTAGCGACCTCTCTTATCACGGAGGTAGGGGTACCTTTTGTAATTGAACATTTCGTTGGTAGTTAAATTCATGCACGCGTGTAAGACCTGTAATAACAAGAGATTATTAAATAATAGATTTTTTATCAGTTTTATAATATGATCCCTACTAATATTATAAATGCGAAAGTAACTCTGTCTGTCTGTCTGTCTGTCTGTCTGTCTGTCTGTCTGCTACGCTTTCACGCCTAAACCACTGAACTGATTTTAATGAAATTCGGTACAGAGATAGAGTTGACCTTGAGAAAGAACATAGGATAGTTTTTATCCCAGACTTTTGAAAGGTTCTCTTGGAAACGCGATATAACCGAACTCCACGCGGCGAAGCTGCGGGCGGAAAGCTAGTAATTATATAAAAATATATCGTATGAAGTGAATTAATATACATATATAATTTGTGCTAGAGTTTTTACTTCAAGGATTTTTTTGCGTGTTTTAAAACACAATTTATTTGAATTTATTCTTAAATCTTTCTGATTTACGATAGTTGAAAATTAAAACTATGTACTTGTGTTCAAAAAACAAGAGAATATTTAAATTATAACTTACTGAAGTGCACGTCAATATCCATCCAAGCGCGCAGAATGTGATAGCTTCCAATAAACCCAATACATAAAGAAGTCCGAAGCCCTCCAACAGAAGACAATAACACGCGAAGTATATAGATAAGGTGCAGTTTATGGCGACGCTCATGACAAAGAGGAAGAACCACATCCGGTTCCGGACACCGATGCAATTATATATAAAGGGACAATGGTGATCGAAGTATGCGACGCAACGTTTGCAGATACGGCAGTGTTTAGCTCTGGAAAAAAATTATAATACAATACTAACTTGCAAGAAAGTCTTCACAAAATTTGTTAAGAAACTGTTCGATTCTTGTTACGTAAAAAATGCAATAAATAATTGTAATTATAAATTAATACCGTCTTTAGAGAGTAGTTTTTTGACAGAAGTAGTATCGCAAAAGGTGATAGATGTAAATTCTTTAGAATTTTAATAACATTTTCTATATATTTTCTTATTAATGTAGGCTACAAAGACAATACTTAGAAATCGTCATAGTCAAGGTTATAAGGAAATATGATCGAATATTCATCCCTACTAATATTATCAATGCAAAAGTAACTCTGTCTGTCTGTTTGTTACGCTTTCACACCTAAACCACAGAACTGATTTTAATGAAATTTGGTTACAAAACATAGAGTTGACCTTGAGAAAGAACATAGGATAGTTTTTATTCCAGACTTTTGAGAGGTTCTCTTGGAAAGTCGATATAACTGAACTCCACGCGGGCGAAGCTGCGGGCGGAAAGCTAGTTAAATAAATATCTAACCTCAACGGTCTCAAACATCTGCAGGTATGGCAGAGACGAGAGAGTATAATATTCCTTTTCTTCCATTTATCGTAATACGGTATCTGTCTGATAGCTCGGTAGTAAGTTTCCGAGTTCTGTGGTATGTAGCCGGGGTCCCTTCGGTTTGCGATGACCCAACTGAGCCACATAATAGCATTCCAATACAGGAAGCAGTAGTGAGACAAACGCATTGTGTTCCATGTTAAGGGAATGCACTAGAACAATAAAATATTATATTAAGTATAAATATCTTACATATAGCTAGTTTAACATACGGTTTGCTATACTGCAAGATATTTTTTCATTATTGGAACAAAACTTATGCGACTTCCTATAAGGTTGCGTTAAACGTTCAACGCTCTTAGATAGAAAGAGACGGAGAGAGAGTAAATGGGTGAATCGATTGTGAATTGTAAGCAATGTTTATAAAATAAATAAAGAGTTCACTAAAAATTGATTTCTATCCCTTCCTATTGTCATTTTTGTAATATTTTGAAGTCTCACTCCACTGAAGGCTCCACGTACTATTTTATAAGTTTTAATATATGATAATTTTAGCATTTTATTATTTCACTACTCTATTTAAAGGTATTCCATTAATATATTTTTAGATATTGTGACCTCGGTAACCTCATTACGCCTGAGTGGATTACATCAATAGCAAGACAATGTAACGTTATGCAAATACCTAGACCTTAGACATTGTCTTAGACTGTACATACAGTATTGTCCTAAACTAATTTCATAATAACTCAACCATTGTATTGCTATTTATCGAACTGTTACCATGACTGTTGAACTATAAAAAAAAACAAAAAAACACGAAATAGTGTCATCTTTATGCCCTCTATCAATTGTTAATGTCAACATTATTCCTAAAAACCGGTTGTAATAAGATCTATACATAATTTGTTCTCGCTAAATTCGAGCTTATGTAAATTAAATGCGTATTTGTTTCATTTATGTAATTAAATTATTATTTAATTTAATTAATAATTAAATTATTCATTTAATTTTATTATTAAGATCGTGTTTATGCAAGCGTAAATTAAATACGTCAAGTTTATACATACCCTAATGATGTACATAGGGTAACCCCATAGAAGTACTGAAAAGAGGAAAAACAATAGCGGACCCTTAGAGTCTCCCGCGCCACCAAACAGCATCGCCCAAAACTCCGATAACGGCGGTATCCAGTGCGACTTACGCTTCATTTCCTTCGTCAGTAGTTTGACAACTTCAGCATGACGATGACTCTGTGCCAACATCAATGGCGTCTTACCATTCTTATCTCTTGGCTCCAATTCCGCTTTAACCTGAAAGCAAAATTCATAAATCATATACAAGCTTTATACTTGCGAATTTTACAATAAACTATCTATTGGCTATTACAATAACTCACCTTTTCGCAAAGTAGTCTCACACAAGTTAGATTACCAGATAGGCAAGCAAGATGCAACGGAGTGGAGCCAAAGTTATCCGTACAATGCAAGGGCACTCCGGAGTAGATGAGAAGACGGACTAAATCTGCATGACCTTTATATGCAGCCCAGTGTAAGGCGGTGTCACCATTGATATCAGAAAGTCGAGTAGCAGCACCCATACCCAGAAGATAAGCAGCAGTCGCTGTCTTACCATACATACAAGCCGTCATGAGTGGTGTAAGCCCTGAAATAAAATTGATATGATTTATTTTAACAATAGATACGGATATTTCTTACAAAAATTAGGTAGTTTAGACCATTTTGACTCAGTTTCCTACCTTTAAAGTCCGCAGCGTTTACAGCAACGCCAGATTGCAATAGAACTTGGACTACAGATGCGTGTCCCTTACGGCAAGCCCAGTGGATAGGCCGAGGTCCCTGCAAAATTATAGATACTCATATGGAGTTAAATATTTTATAATTAAAACGAATAATTGTATTACATTCTATTCATTAAGTCAGTGGTGGCCTAGATGTTAAAAAGCCCGCCTCTCATGCACGAGGGCGCGGGTTCGAACCTGGCCCTGGCAAGTACCAATGTAATTTTTCCGAGTCATATGTTCTTTCTAAGAGTATTTAGACATAACTAATTAATGCATTCCCAAAAAGAGTTGATGTCACACAGGCGGCCGGTCGTAAAAACAATTAGCCAAAACTATTTATAACATGTAAGGCAGACCCTGGCTAAAGCTGGGAAATTGACAGATAGAAGAAGAATTGCATTACGTTCTATTACATGGAAATATCATTTCTTTTTATTTTTACTCTACCTGGGTGCCCAAACAGGACAGATCGACCGGGGCTCCTCTTTCTACTAAGTATCGCATGACAGCAACACTTCCATCCAGAGCCGCCCAATGTGCCGGCGTATATCCGTGCTGATCACGAGCACTTAACATTTCCACACCCAACTTTTCCACCAGCCTTTCGATGTCCGAAACTTCTCTATAACCCAAAAATATTTCTTTTAATTCATTACTTAAGTTAAATTTACATAACATTTAAATTAAGTACAATGCTTTCTAGTTAAAAAGTTATCACCCAATGTTGGTAAAGCCAATATTCATATGCATATTACATGTAGACATCGCTAAAAGATCAATTTTATATCGTACCCAGATCTTACAGCTTCAAATATAAGCTGATGGAAATCGGAGTGGTGGTTCAGATTGGTGGTGATGCGTGGTTGGGCGGCTGGAGCATCTGGGGACATGGGCGAACAGGGAGGAAGGGACTCCTCCGCTGCCATGGTGCAGGGGGGCGGCTGCGGCAGCGCCCACACGCCGCGGGCCGCCCCTGGACTTGGATATACCTAGATATAAAAAGACATAAGAAATAACTGTCTTATTAAAACGTACGATATAGGTAAGAACAGTTTAAGTAGTACCGGGTTTTAACAATAGTCAACAGAATAAGATTAAGGTCAATAAGATAGGAACAAAAAACACTAACGTTAAAATTTCATTTGTAACAGTCGGTAGATTTAATTTTTAAGGTATAGAGTTCCATTAAAACCTTATTTGAGAGAAGTTACGTTTAACTCTTTTGTTAAAAGGTATTTAGTTGCATAAATCATTATTTTATTTTCAACTTTGAGGATTATAAAAATACTTAGGTACGAAGAAACTTGTCCAATATTACTTTACAATGATTATTTGCAATGTGAATTTCAGTAGGAGCTCCAAACGGGTAAAATATAATATACAATATTTTAATTCTCATATTTTGTGCTTTGGATACCTTTGCAATATTAATAAAAAGTTTATTATTTTTTTTTTATGTACCTAATTACATCATAGACTTGCCATTACATATCTGCATTGCGGATATGTTATTTTTATTAGTTACCCGTACATTTACGTACAATAATAACATTTTACCTTTCTTTTAATAGCAATACTTATTATACATAATGGTGTTATTGGAATATTATATAGTAATAGTTAAAATTAACTGAGTATTCACCTTACTACTCACGGTGAGGCCGACGCCCCCCGCCGTTACAGAAACCTCACTTTCCGCCACCGCCACTTCACACGCAAACTTTAAAACTAAAGCTTTGCCTAGTTTTACTTTTAAAAGGGTAAATTATCACGTACATTAACAGACTGCTTACCAATGAGAACTATATTGATTGTAGAACCAAATGGCGAAGGAGCATGCGCTTAATCTACGTCAAAACTCAAACGTTTTGCTACAATAGACAACTAATACAATTAATCAACAAATAACATTTGAAATAGCACAACTATCGTAACATTATGCATGTTTTATCAATAATAATAAATAAAATTGCAAAATTATATAGCAAATATTTAGTGCGTAACATTAAATCGCAATAAAGTGTCACCGTTTAACTTTAAATTTACTAAAGGATGATGGTTGCAGAGAAATATAGAATGTATATGCTACAGCTAAAATAAGTTTAAAACATAACAATCGTATAAAAATCCACAATTAATTAATTAAATATTTTCAAATTCATTACAAGTGGGAATAGAAAATCCAACAGATAAGAAAACCTAAATCTTCCTTCTTATAGAAAGATATGCAATATTTTTTTTATGTGTTCTAGAATCTACATACGCGCAATTAGAGACATTCACGAAGGCATGCAAGTTATCGTGACCTACTAATTTAGTCATCTCTACGTAGGTATGTACGAGCATAGCCAGAGGTTATTGACTTATATCAAAAGTTATCGTAAATTTTGTTGCGTGCAAGACTACGTTAATAATTTTGTGTTACCTTAATTATTTAGGGTTTAAAGTATTTTAGAAAACTTATAAAGCACTTTTATATAAAAAAAAAACATAATCATCAATTAAACTTAACTTAATAAAATTACTTTTACCGACTGTATTTGTTATCTTGTTGTAAATCATTTATAATCGATTTATTTAGTTTAGAAGCGAAAAAAGGGCATATAGAAAGTATATTAAAAAAGTATTTTCAACGCACAATGCGTAATCGATTTTTAATCGATATTAAATGACTATAGACTACATACTTGTTCTTATTTTCATATTCCTCCGGCGAAGATAAGACTTATTCAGTATGCATAGTCCAAGTTTGCGGCTTCGTTCAAAATACCAAGCGTATCACGTTTCTCATACAAAAACCTATGATAATATAAATTTGCAAAAATTTATGAATAATATCTAGTAACGCTATGAAGCGTGACGATGCCAACTCATACTAAGCATACAGATAATATTCTAGCATTTCGTACACCTAGATCTCGAATTTATTATCATAGATAACTGTTGTTCTGGAAAATTAATTACTTATTATTATTGTTCTATATTAAATTAACACAAATGTTATATAATGAATTAGAATTTAATATTGTGAAATCAATGTTTCATGCAACGATTGCATGTTATAAGTGAAAATGTTCTTGATCAATGTTTTAATGTAAATATAACTTGTAAAAACTTTCACATCGGTCAAAACTAATACTTAGAGTCATACCTTACACATTCCATGTGAAGCGGTGCTTAATATAAATAAATATTGTTATGTATGTATTATATTTATTAGTTGATTTTAATGAAATAAAATAACATATAAATACAAATAAAACAAAATTGTTAGGCAATAAAATAGAGAAACAAAATTTCCTTCGGTACTATTATAGTTATAATAGTTATATTAAACAATTAATGATTCTCATAATAAACATTGATATTTATAAATAAATAATTTAGTCCCTTATAAAACAACAGGTAAATAGTTTAAATTTCACTTCATTATAAAATTATTTTCTTCTTTTTTTTTGTAACAATTGTAAATAGAAAAAATGAATTTAGTACTGAACAAACAATAACGAAAACACAGTTTAAAATTGTGAAAATGAATTTTAATTCAGCAAATTTTATACTAAATGTATAAATATGATAAAATCTAGATTTTGTTTTCACTACCTAAATAGACATCATGTTATAAAAAGTGTACAACTAAAACTAGTAGCTGATTAAACATCTCAATGTGGCTTATATTAGTAAGATCTTGTAAAAGCACATCTTTAAAATGGTATATTATACTTAAATAATGATAAAAATTATATAGTCAAAGCACTTAGCTCACAACTGATGTTGAACTCACAAACAACAGTCATCTTCAATACAAATCTTAAACCTCTAGTAAACTTGAAACATTTAACGAGCAAACTGAATAAATTATTATTCATAATAAGAGACAAACTTAACAATATCGATAGCTCAAAGTAATATAATATTTTCAACAAAACTCGACAGACTGCACTCAAGATAATGTATAAAGGATTATGTTTTAATTCAGCACTATTAACATATATTAATTGATGTTCATCAATGAAAGGAGTCATTTTGTCTATTGTACTGTACTGATATTGTGGTTTACCATTTTTATAACATTATCTTTTTTGCGTCTTAAAACTAACAGACAGTGGCTGGCCGTGGAGCACGTAGCCGTTTAAAGCTTGTATTGCCATAGCTGCCTGATCGTAATTTCTCATAGTTACAAAACCGAATCCTTTACTTTTATTTGTTTGATGATCTTTAATTATTTTAACGGACACAATAGCACCATATGGACCAAACAGTTGCCATAAAGTCAACTCTTCTACTTCGGGGGCAATATTATAAATGTATATCGACCATGTGCTCGGAGAATTGTGATCCCCTATTGCACCTACATGATTAATCCAATGATAAGGCTTCACTAACGAGTTCTTGGAGAAGTTATTATTATTGTTTTTATGTTTATTAGGATTACTCTTATTAGCGTACTTAACAGTTAACGGGTGTAAAAAAACTAGGAGGAGTTGTACCATTAACATTATGTATGGCTCTCTCCGCTTCATATTGGTGTTCATATAATACAAAAGCTATGCCTGACGCAATGCGGGAATTCACTATTTTTCCAAATTGTGCAAACAGTCCATGTAGATCTTGCAAGGTCAGTTCATTAGGTAGGTTACATACGTAGAGGTTCCAATCCGCTTCCGGTTTTGTCGGCGGCTTCAGCTCCGGATTGAGTAGGGCGTGAGATACCTTAAGTGTTTTGTTTTGCATTAAGAGGCCGTTGAAGGCTTTACGTGCCTTTACCGCATCTTCTGGGCGACAGTACTCGACGAACCCATATCCTCTGTTCGCTATCAATTTACAACTTTCTAATTTACCCATGGTAGAAAACAGTGAAAACATCATGTCCTGGGTCATAACCTCAGGAATATAATTGACAATAAGCTTCGTAGGTGATTCATCAGGCCCAAATTCATTATTTCCATGACAATTACCGTCTTGACACGATTCCGACATTTTTTAATTGTTGTCCCGGAATGACATTTGGTTTTGAATGTTACCAGAGCTGACTTTTCGTTCTAAAATGCAATATTAAAGAAACGTAACAATATAAATAAAAATTTATTTTAAAAATATTTACTATTACCACCACATTAGACAAACTAATAGCAATCCTTAAATATTTATCTTATTTTTTGCCAGTAAAAAAAATAAGTTTCTCTTAATAAGTTTTTCTTAATAAGTTATAAATATAAAAAATAAGTTTTTCTTAAAAAAAATATTTCTAAAATGCTTAACGAGAAAAAAGCAGCCATTTGTTTAATTCAATGTTTAAATCAAAAGACAACAAATTTATATTCAATACTAAACCTATTCATCTAATAACCCGGGTAATCCCCGAAATTGTTACTGTTAAAATTAATTTATTCCACTTCAATGTATATCTCATCAATAAAATAGGAACAATCATAAGTTGTTAAAATTTCTGCAATTTTTTTTCCTATTGCGTATTTTTTTATTATGTTGGCTGTTGCTTATACAAAATTGCTTATGCCAGAATTATTATTATCAAAGTCATATATAAAAGGTTAAAAAAAATTAAACATTCACAGACTAAAATCACTTTATTTATATCATAGAAGCTATGCGGTATACATTTATTGCACCAATTCACATATAACAGTATTATTGAAACTGGTATTTATTGTATGGATTGTGCTATTTGACTTGTATAAGAAAAAACAATATGACTGTATAATAATTAAGACATTGTTAGTACATCAAAATCGTACTCTATAAGATTTCTATTAATAATAAAATTATAAAAAAAACATTTAAAGCCACAAAATATAAAATTTGCATGTCTAAATAAAAATAAATAGCTACCTGTATTAATAAGATCACGTCATCACTAAAATAATATTATAATAAATAATGTTTGTCTTCAATTAATCTATAAACAGGTACAGATTTTAAATCGTCCATAAAGACATATTTACAAATAAATATATAGAAGAAAATTTACCTAAAAGTAGATAAAATAAAATGAGCCTCATGATAAACATAGATTCAATTCTCATTGGAATTTTGTCAAATCAATAAATTCTCTTTGGTATGCCTCACATTATTACATTTAGTACACCAAGCGATTGTAAATAGTTTTTAAGCATTAAATAGTCTGATATATATTCTGTCCAACGACTACATCTAACAGCAAAGATTATAAAGATCTACAATTTAATTATAAACATTTTTAATACTAAAATCACTTAAAATAAATAAATATATTTTGATCACTTTCAGCTTTGTATGATTATACCTATTGACTAATAAGAATTAAAAATAACATCGATAAAATATTTAATATTATTGTCATGTTAAGTGGAATTACGTAGTACAATTTAAAGTTTCAATATTGTTTCCAAACTCGCGTACGTGCCGAAGACAAAGCCTGTTATACCGAAAATGATGATTGCTACGTCCTTCCAGAGCATCCAATCGTTGGTTCCTAGTCTATCTGGCCAGAAAGTCATGATTTCAATCAACGGCGGGAATATTAACGCCAATGCTGAACTGCTGAATGCTCCAACTAGTGATATAATGCTGCTCAGATTCGGTATCAAAGTTGCCGCTGTAACTGGAATAATAATGACACTTCGATTAAAAAAATCGGTCAAATATGATTAGAAAGTTGTTTGTTATTTTATTGACAGTTCAATTTTCGTGTCCTGAGAATTGGAGCTCATTATCTACGGAAAAAAAATATGTTTACAGACAACAAAAGAATGTTAAATAACGATGAGTCAATATATTAATTGTTGATAAATAACTATTACAAGCGCTGGGTCTTTTCCGTGAATGGAAACTTTTATCAAAATACACAGATTGACACGTCAAATACACTGTTCACTGTTGTGTCAATGCCGTAAATAACATGTTTAGAATAATAATAATAAATAAACAATAAACTATTACCAATATTATTAATTCAATATTTATAATGTTTTTTAAAACAATATAAATTTTTACTTATGTATAATTAAATCGCCGTTTCATATTACACGAACGCGGAAGTTTTATACTAACAGATCAATTGAAGGTTATCATACAAAGATATTGTAATAAAAAACAGTAGAATCTGAAAATATACAACTATTACTTAATTTCAAATATTGATAAATCCAAATTTTAATATATTCCCAGGTAACCGGTAAATGAGAATTGCACAGAGTAAACAATATGATAACCTGCGACTATTTATTTTATACGGTTTTGTTTACTGACATCAATATTTGTCAAGTGACGTTACGCGGGACATTTTGTTAATTGGTTCGCCCACGAATTGGCTTTCATTTCAATTTATCGATATGTAATATTGCCAAGAGTATGTGAAAATATTTGCTTTTATGTCAGATGTTACGAAAGTATATTTGAAAACGTGTGGGTGATAAATTGAAATGTTCTATTTATTAAATGTAACCTTATATCTTTCTGGTTTATTTATGGTATAAAATCTTTTTGAGACAAATTAATATTTAGTTATATATAAATATAGTTCTAGACTAAAATTCAAATGCAATGTGTGTTAAAAATAAACGCTATAAAACTGAATAATAATTCGAATGTCACGTATAACTATTATTCATTTTATTCATTAATACTTGAAAGATGTTCCAAACATGTGTACATTTTATTTATGATCTAAAAATATTAAAATTGACAAGATTCCAAGACAAATGTTTTTAAACGAAATTCTCATTGAAACTAGGTCACGCGGCGTCTGTGTGGCTATACACTTAATGCGGTGGAGAAATTAATATGCTGTATTCACAGAAGCAGTAAAAGTACGATAGTTTTACGATGAAATCAATTAAAATGTAATTATAACTATCATTGAAACTTCAACGAAATATTACATTATGTAAAATGTATAGTGCGGAAAAGTAATTTTAAATTTTACGGTTTACATTTGTCAATAATGCCAACATAATATACATACATATATGATATAATGGTTATACGACCATTTCTTATTCAACCTTTGTACATATTATCTAAGATATTCATTTTTTATTTCTTTTTTATATTTCCAATCATTCATTAAACTACATTAATACTTGGGTATTGATTACATTTAAAAATATTGGTTATCAAACTTAACTTCCAAATCAGAGGGAGGATTAATTTCGTCTGACCGAAAGATTTAAAAAGGATTTATAGAATTAATATATTTTTGAAAAAATGATACGTTATTATTGAATTTTATTTAACGATGACATACAAAACACAATTAATAATGGCCATTAAAATTCATTGTGTCTTGTCAATCAAAAAGTTTATATGTATATATATTTTTTTGTTTTTTCTCATTCAAATTTATACTTACATGTAATAGAAATAAGAACGAATCTCGTCACAGCCTCGCCGTGTTCCAACGCTTTATCCGAAGTTAATTTAGATTTAATATACGGCCATACAATATTCATTGGCACGTAGAATTGAAGACCATATGACAGGAATATTGCGGCCGCCATTACAGCTCTCACGCTTTGTGCCAGTCTGGAAATATATTAATGTTTAATGATCATAAAATAATTCTCTTGTACATACTAATATTAAATAACATATTATTAACGATGATATAATGGTTTTAATGTATCTCATTATCCCTACTAATATTATAAATGCGAATAACTCTGTCTGTCTGTCTACGCTTTCACGCCTAAACCACTGAACTGATTTTAATGAAATTTGGTACAGAAATAGAGTTGACCTTGAGAAAGAACAGGATAGTTTTTATCCCCAGACTTTTGAAAGGTTCTCTTGGAAACGCGATATAACCGAACTCCACGCGGGCGAAGCTGCGGGCGGAAAACTAGTGTGTATAAATGTTAGTTAGTGTTTGCTTATGTCAGTATTTTTTTTAAAATATTATATGGAATGTAATTACAGACTCCTAATGGGTTCTTAAAAAAATTGTTTTCAATCTTGGAAAGTAATTAGATTGTTTAATATATAAAAAGACGAGTTTTAATGGAAATGATAAGATAATTGGGTTTTTGAAAAAAAAAAAGTATTGATTTTTTTTATGTATTTTAAAACTTTATTATTAATTATATTGGATTTTTAATGCAAAAAACTTGAAATATATTTTTTAAATTAATTATAAACAATTAAAAATTGATAAAATTCAAAAATATATCACGTGACTGTAAACGCGCCATGATTGGTCAGCATACTTGTGACGTCATAATGTTAAAGCAATTTCATAATAGTACAGTGTTTATGGCTATTATCTTTAACTTGATAAAAATATCTCAAATTTATTAGTGAAAAACGATTTGAAAAGTTTATTTCGACTATGTGTGATAAAGGATTTATAAAAGCAAAATCGGATAATATTCCTGATGTTAATATATTTTTATGATAACTAATTTTTTAAAAAAGTGCGGTTTAATTTTGCTGAAGTTCGAGGTGCTAAGACATCAAGGTAAGTCTGTCAAAAAATACTATTCTAAATGAAAATTAGTATTTATTCTCTATTAAATATAATTAATAATTATTTCATTAAATCATTATTAATAAAATGTTATTATAACATTATAAAAAAACCAAAATAACATATATGTACTTTAAAAATTTAAATGTAGTCTGATACAGAACCTAGAATGTTATAAAATTATGAAAATATCTATTAATTGAAGTCCAATTATTAGACAAACATATATATAGATTTACTATTTAATCGCTTTGAATTATCAATTAAAATTTTTTAATGCTACGATTCTAAAGGTTATGATTTGGAGCCCAGGTAAAAAAATTAATTATTGAACTATACTTATTCGATTTATACACTTAGATAAATAATAATTAATAACAATACTATTATGAAAACTTACAACGAAATGATCTTCACAACAAAAAAAAAATGATTTTGTTTTTGAATAATCTCGATGCACTGCTTGAAACCATTTCTTTCGACGTTTTTCGTCTTGTGGAACATTTAAAAACATTTTTTCAGGAGTTGTTTTTGTAGTCTTTGTACATAATGGTACAAAACTTTTGATTATTTAACAATGCCAACAGAATTTACTAGATAAAAACTCAAAACACTGTACTAATTATTATATCTCTGTATGCTACAATGAGCAAAAACTAACATTGTGACGTCACACGCGCTCGGGTTTATTCACGAGCTGTCGGCTTGTCTTCGGTACTGAATTTAAAATTTAATTTTTATTTTGAAATAACTTTTTAAATATTGCAAAAAAAAATAAAATAAAAATAGTTTTGTTATTAAACTTATATATGATCTTTCCATTTATCACAAAAAAAAAATAATTCAAAAACCCAATTGGCTATTAAAGATTCGTAATAAAAAAAATAGTTTATTTTCTATATGTTCATAGTTTATACGCAACACATGGAAATTTTGTGCTGTTAATTGATTTTTTTTCCATTTCAGTCATTATCTTCACGCTAACTGGTTTTTAATTTCTACATTATTCATTTCTCTAACATAATTATATATTTTTTTTTATTGTACATTAATTCTTTAATGAAAAATTTCAGACGAGATATTTTCCATACATTTATTAATTGTTTGAATCTATTTCATTTTTTAAGATTACTTAAGAATATTCCAACTATGTACAGTTTGACAATTTTTAACTCTGTTTTCTAGACAAACTAAATATGAGGATATAACACGAATATTCATAAATGCTTAAACATAATTATACTTTCTTGCTACCGAACTAGTCAGGTACAAAGACATACTTTTTAATACATAGTTTATTATATTTTAACTCACATTCCGACACAACGTATATATGTGGTTAGTTGTGTGTTTGTGTGTGTGTGGGTGTCCACAATTATTATTATTCAAGAGATTTTTAATATCCTGAAAAATTTATGTATAGTATTAGGGAAGAATAAAACATGTAACTCACAGATCGTTAGGTAGATTGAGGGTGATGCTTCCTAATACATGATCTCCATACTTGAGGTATCCAAAGAAACCGATAGCCGTGTACAAAGAGGCTACAATAACCATGCCAGTATTGAGAACGCCGGTCCAACCACCGAAATCTTCTGGGGTCTTCATGTTGTTTTCTAACGGCAAAACCTTAAAAAACGGACTTATTATAAGAAAAAAAAATACGTTTCCGAACGCATAATGGAGTAGTTTACATTTAAAAATTATGAAAGTAATATTTAAGAAAAAATAAGTTTAATAATACAAAACAAAACATATAATATAATTTAAATATATCATGTCTTTGTACTTATATAATTCGATATAAAAATTAAAACTCATATTAACTATAAATAATTAATGTTACCATCAAAGTTAGTTAAATAAATATATATACAGATAATACAAAAAACATATGCCATATTATTAATGAAACATTATAATATGTTATCGAAGTTAGTGATTCAAAGGGCGTCGATGTAAAATAAATGCAATTTAGGTTGAAACACAAATATTATCGACGTACATAATTAATATGATTTATGTTTCCAAAATGATAGATTTATCTCATTATCTAGTTATACAAGTCAATACGAGGATTTAATTAAAATATTTGACACAAATAAAAAACTGCTAGTGTAAAAATCAGCAACAATTTCTAACAGTTATTTTACGAAAGTAGACACGAAATTCGGAATTCAGATAAAATTTAAGCGATTCCAACGGTTTCTAAAAAGATTTCTGAATTTGAGAAAGTGTTATATTTGTCTTATACAACAAGATTTTTCTATTGAATAATATTAAAAATATCAAACTGTAGAATTGACAATATTTTTAGTAGCACATAAGGTATTTTGAGTTGATTAGTTTCTCAAAGTGTATAAGGTAATTCGAAAGTTTAAATTCACGAACATAATAATAAATCAGTATATTGTTTTAATTTAAATTATATACTGTTACTATAACTCCATATCTCTCGAACTGTTAAAACAAGACCACGAATATGTCGCTAACTTTTGAACTGCAGACAAGATACTCAATGTAAAAAAGCAGAATATAAGTAGGTATATATACCTACATATTATACATATAATATATATTTTTTTTTACTATGTACGATTTAATTTGGGAGTTTATTCATTCTAAATTTAAAGGGTGTAAATTCAGATTGTTAGCAAAAATATATTTAAACGTGGGCTTTTAAAAAAAATAGGTCGAAATGAATACATATAGAAATAATAAATATTATTGCGACCATTAATTAGCAATATAAAATCCGAGCATTATCACGAGAACAATTATCGTAAATTAATAATAGTGTAACGAATTGCGAGGTTTCACTATCGCTGACCTGAGTTAAATTAATGGTTATATTGTGAACAAAAAAAGTTTTACTCGAGTATTCATTTAAATAAAAATAAAATTTTCGGACATATTAGACGTTTTTTATTATTTTAAAACTACATACTTCTTCAATTCGTATGCCCGTGATCAAAATTGCTGGATAGTTACCGAAACCTCAAAATTATGTAGGTTTAATATTAAAAACAACGCGTAGTGTATCCGAAAACTTTCCTACTATAAAAAAAAATTCTTGTTATTTTCTTTGGGTTGTCGTCTTGCGTATCGGAAAATCGCTTCGAACAAAAAAAAACGTCCAAAACTATATTTTAAAGTTACTTTACAGAAAGTTTAATTAAAATTCAACAATTATCTTTTATAATATTTTTTTAATTATTTCTAATTTGAAGCTCGTGCTAAATATAATTCAAGAAATAAATAGATCCTGCTGGGTATGGCTATGACAGAATTTGCATAACGGAGTCGCGTTCGAGCCGCCGTAGGGATCGGACGTCTTGGTGTGATATATAGTGGTGTGATATAGTGATTAGGGTGTGCCGTATCGAGAGCCACTTGCTAACATAAGCTAACCTAAGTTAACCTAACCTAACCTAACCTAACCTGGTTTTGTTGGTTTTGGTGTCGGTTTTGGTGGTTGGGATGGGGGATAGGGAGTATGATGGGGGGGGTTGCCCGGGGGGGGGAAAACGGGGAAGTCTATGGAGGAGTTGTCGGGTGTGGACGACTCGATGTCGTCTCGTCCGGAGTCGGCGTTAGGGGCCAAGCGTCTCTTTTCGGAGATGTCTGGCTCCGACACCGAGACTGGGGGGGGGATGGCTCGAGAGTCGATTCCAGCGGGAAGACGAGGCCGCGGTCGCGCCTTGACCAGGGCTAGAAAATTTTTAAGGGAGAGGGAGGAAGAGGAGTTGGAGGCCGCCTTCGACTCTTGTATGGAGAGGAGGTTGGCGAGGGAAAGGGACAGTAAGAAGGAAAGGGAGGTTCCTCCGGAATTAGGAACGATGGGGGCGGAGGCCATCATGGTTGAGGCGGAGAAGAGCCTCAACCTGATCAAAGATTTGGTGGGGAAAAGTACCAACCTCAAGGGGGGGTACTCTTCGAAAATTATGAAGGCCTCCGCCTTCTTGAAGGAGGTGCTTGACGTCCTGGTGACGCGCACCGAGGCAGAGGAGACCCACCGCCTTAGAGCCGACATCGGTCGGCTCCAAAGGGAAAACGCGGGTCTCAAGGAGGAGGTGCGCGCTCATCGCCTCCAATTTGAGGAGATGAGAAAAGAGAGGATTGCGGCAGCTAAGGAGGCTTCGGAGGGCCCAGTCAGCCAGGACCAACTCCAAACGCTGGAGTCGAACATTGCCAGGTTGGTTGGCAACCTGGTCGATGGTCGACTTGCCGCGATGGAGTCCCGGCTACGAGGAGAAGAAGTCTCCCGCCCCCCCCTGGCGGGGGACAATTCGGCCGTCGCCGTGGCAGCCAGGAGGGCGATTCGCCAAGCGGCCCTGCAAAGGGGGGCCAAGAAATCGGCCCCATTGCCGGCTTCGGAAATTCCGGCACCGGCTATATCGGAGGCCGAATTCCCTTCCCTCCCTGCGCCTTCCCACGGGAAAGGTAAGAAGTCCAAGGGAGGGAAGGAGGTAGTATGGACCGCGTTCGGTCCATCCACATCCAGTGGAGGGGCCGAACCAACTGTAACGGGGGTTGGGGCCAATACGACGGGTTGGACGGAGGTAATCGGCCGCAAGGCCCCCAAGAAGAAGAAGGTGGCGCCAGTGCCCAATAAACCGGCGCCGCAGCAAAAGAAGGCGGGCCCTAAAGAGGGCCCCAAAAAAGTGATGCTCCCGCGCTCACAGGCCGTAATTATCAAGTTACGGCCTGATGCAGCGGCCAAGGGGGCATCGTACTTGTCAGTCCTCCTGAAGGCTGAGAGGGAGGTTAATACCAAGGAGCTGGGCATAGGGCCCCTGAAGATCCGTTCATCGGCAACAGGGGCTCGCATCATCGAGGTGCCCGGCTCCACCAGTGCGGACAAAGCCGATGCTTTGGCCGAGAAGTTGAAGTCCGCACTAGCGGAGGAGGTGGAGGTGTCGAGGCCTGTAAAATTCACAGACTTGAGGGTCACGGGTCTCAACGACGCGACGACCGCGGACCGGCTGATAACTGCGGTAGCGCAGGAGGGGGGCTGCACTGAAGCTCAGGTAAAGGTGCGCAATGTGCGACCTGGGCTTCGCGGCACAGGCTCCGCCCTGTTGGAGATGCCAGCTGCGGCGGCAAAAAAAATTGCTGCAGCTGGGTAGCCTAACGGTGGGGTGGAGCCAAGTGCGGCTCTCATATATGGAGGCACGACCCAAGCACTGCTTCAAGTGCTTGGGAATGGGGCACGTAGCGGCCGCGTGCCCCAGTCCAAAAGACCGCAGCGGCTTGTGCTACCGCTGCGGCAAGGAGGGCCACAAGTCCGCCCAGTGCACCGCGTCACCGCACTGCGCTGTGTGCGCGGACGCGAGTAAGCCGGCGGACCATGTGATGGGGGGCCATTCGTGCCGTCCTCCATCCACCCGCGGGAAACTCCCTGACCAGCCTAAAAGGGCGGGAGTTTCGAGGCAGGCGTCAGGAGCTGAGATGTCCGAATAATGGCTGGACATCTCAAGTTCCTGCAGGCCAACGGCAACCACTGCGCCGGGGCTCAGGATCTCTTCCTGCAGTCCATGGCGGAGTGGGCCGTAGACGTGGCGGTCATAGCTGAGCCGTACTGTGTCCCTGCCCAACCTCATTGGGCGGGAGACGCGGACCGCTTGGTTGCGATCGTCACGCGGCCGGGAGCCGGGCCCCCCCTCGCCGTCAAAGCGAGGGGCCACGGGTATGTGGCGGCGGTTTGGGGGGAGATTGCCATCGTCGGGGTATATTTCTCCCCGAACCGTGACCTGCCGGCCTTCGAGAGATTTCTCGACTCTCTCGGGCCGGTGGTAGGGCAGTTAGCGCCTCTCCAGGTGTTTGTGCTGGGGGACCTCAACGCCAAGTCCACGGCGTGGGGAAACCCCCGCACAACACCGAAAGGGAGGGAGCTGGAGGCATGGGCGCTGACTGCCGGACTGTCCCTTCTCAACACGGGGACGGTCCAGACGTGCGTGCGAAGGTTGGGAGGTTCAGTGGTGGACGTCTCGTTCGCCACTCCGACCATCGCACGCAGAGTGGAGGGATGGAGGGTTGAGGCAGGAGTGGAGACGCTTTCGGACCACCGTTACATACGGTTCGAAGTGTCTCCTACTCCTGCCGGTCGCCGGAGTCCAGTGTCGAATTCCTCGTCGCCTCGGGAGGGAAGTCGGTTCCCGCGTTGGGCGCTGTCAAAGCTCAACCGGGAACTGGCTGAAGAAGCGGCCGTCGTCGGTCGCTGGAGTCTCCCGGAGGGTGCGGAGTCAGGGGTGGATGAAGGGGCTAGCCGCTTTGGGGACGTTCTTCAAAACGTCTGCCGAGCGGCGATGCCCCCCGTAGGACGTCCCCCTCCGCGGGGAGCGGTATACTGGTGGTCTGAGAATATCTCAGACCTCCGGGTCGCCTGCAACGGGGCCAGGAGGGCATACACCCGGAGTAGGCGACGCCGCCCCCAGGACGAGGAGCGAGATGGTCGGCTGTACGGGATCTACGTGGAGAAGAAGTTGATCCTGCAGCAGGCCATCCGCCGGGCCAAGGAGGCAGCCTGGCTGGAGCTGGTGGAGGGTCTCGATCGAGACCCTTGGGGCCGACCGTACAAGCGGGCGCGGAACAAACTCTGCGCCCAGTCGGCCCCCATCACGGAGGTGCTCCAGCCGGCTGCTCTGAGGGGGATCGTCGGGGAGCTCTTCCCCGACGCTCCAGCGGGATTTACTCCCCCCAGAATGGCCCGGCCGACGCTGGATGAGGGCGACCGCGTTCCGCCCACCGTCACGGAGTCTGAAATGGAGGCGATTCTGGCTCGCCTCCAGAGTAAGAAGAGCGCACCGGGTCCGGACGGGGTGCACGGGAGAGTTCTCGCTCTCTCCCTGGTGCACCTCGGTGGAGCCCTCAAGGAGCTGTTCGACCTCTGTCTGAGGTCCGGGCAGTTCCCGAGGGCCTGGAAGGAAGGCCGGCTTTGCCTTCTTCCAAAAGGCAACCGGCCTCCGGACTCGGCTTCGGCGTGGCGACCGGTGGTTGTGCTGAACGAGGCGGGGAAGGCCCTGGAGAAAATAATGGCCACCCGTCTCGTTCGGCATCTAGAGGAAGGCTCGGGCCCGGGACTGTCAGAGTTCCAGTTCGGGTTCCGAGCCCATCGGTCGACCGTCGATGCTCTCAAACGCCTGAGGGTGGTGACGGAAGAGGCGGAACGCAGAGGAGAGGTAGTGGTTGCGGTGTCGTTGGACATCGCAAACGCGTTTAACAGCCTCCCACACAGCGCGATGCAGGTGGCACTCGAGTATTTCGGAGTGCCCCTGTATCTGAGGAGGCTGATAAACAGCTACCTCTCCCAGAGGAGGGTGGCAGTCGAGAGCCGGAGGGGGTCCATAGAGTGGTGGACAGTCGAAAACGGCGTGCCACAGGGGTCGGTCCTGGGACCGGTCCTGTGGAACGTCGGATACGACTGGGTCCTGCGGAGTCGTCTCCTCCCCGGGATGGGTGTCATCTGCTACGCCGATGACACCCTCGTCTTATCCCGGGGACGAAACTACAGGGAGGCGGCGCGGCTGGCCGAGGTCGGAACTGACCTCGTGATCAGCCGCATAGAGAGGTTGGGGCTTCGGGTGAGAATAGACAAGACCGAAGCCCTCCTCTTCCGCGGGACTGGGCGGAAAGGACCCCCGCCGGGTGCCACCCTCCTCATAAGAGGAGGGAGGGTCAGGGTGAGTCCCACCATGAAATATCTGGGGCTCACTCTTGACGGAGGGTGGACCTTCGTGCCTCATTTCAAGGAACTGGGGCCGAAGGTCGTGAGGACGGCAGGTGCGCTGGGAAAATTCCTCCCGAACCTCGGAGGACCCAGCGCAGCTTGCAGGCGGCTATACTCTGGGGTCTGTCGGAGTATAGCCCTGTACGGTGCTCCCGTTTGGGCTGATCGCCCAATGAGCCGCAGGATCAAAGCCCTGCTGCGCTCTGCGCAAAGGGCTCCTGCGGTGAGGGTGATTAGGGGGTACCGTACGGTCTCCTGGGCCGCAGCGACTGCCCTTGCCGGCGATCCGCCTTGGGATCTCGTGGCGTCGGTTCGAGCCGAGTTGTTCTCCTATGTCTCGGGTAGGAGGACACTCGGCGAGAACCCTTCGTCGGAGGAGATCCGAGCGGTTCGTCGGCAGGGGGAGGAGCGCCTTATGCGGGAGTGGGGGGAGGACCTGGCGGAGCAGCCGTACGGTAGACGTACAACGGCAGCGCTTCGCCCGGTCCTAGAGCGTTGGATGAGGCGGAAACGCAAACCCCTCACTTTCCGTCTGACGCAGGTCTTAACCGGGCACGGGTGCTTTGGTTACTACCTGTGTCGGACGGCCAGGAGAGAGCCGGGAGAAGGCTGCCATGAGTGCGGCGCTGCGGTGGACTCGGCCCAGCACACCCTCGAGGTGTGCCCGAGATGGGCTGCGCAGCGCCAAGACCTTGTGGCGGCTCTCGGCGGAGTGGACCTGTCGCTTTCGAGTGTCGTGGAGAAGATGCTCGAGAGTGATGGGTCCTGGTTGGCGGTGTCCTCCTTCTGTGAGACGGTCATGTCCACGAAGGAGGCATCTCAGCGGGAAAGGGAGAGGGCGGCTGATGCTCCCTCCCCCCGCAGGCGACGTACGGGGGTGCGACGGAGGCAATTCCTACGCCTCCAATAGCACCCCTGCGTTCCGGGCTGGGGTCGGCGTGGTAACCCGGCCCTTTTGAAAGCCCGGCGTCGTCGGGGTGGTCCTAATTGCCGGGATCGCCCCCATGCTCTGAGGGAGTAAGTCCGGTCTTTGCCAGGACCGGCCAGTCGCTGGTGTGCCCTGTCGCTGACAGATCCGGGGTACACCGACATAGCGGCCGATGGCTTTCGCAGTGGTTTTAGTGAGTAGGGGCCTGCCCAGGCCGAGCCTCACACATCCCTTCCGGCCCCACCAAGGCCGGTTGGACGGCTCGTAAAAAGAGTTTCCACTACGTCAACAAAAAAAAAAAAAAAAAAAAAAGAATTTGCATAACAAAATGAATACTTTATATGTAAATAAACAAATTAGCATAAATATTAAATGTCATGTGTACGAGGAATAAGAGGAATTATTATTTCATGTCTCATATATTTTATCTACTAAATGAAAAACTCTTTAAAGAAGTAATAAAAAAAATGTCCTAACCTTTCCGAGAATTACAACCATCGTCATTTTTGAAAACGAGATTATTTGAACAAAAAAATTATCATCTTAAAATATGTTATACTCTTTTTAAATATTAAAAAATAAGCATTTAAAACACTAATGAGACTAATTTGTTTTTTTGTAGATATTAAAGTAATTAAGTCATAATAGTAAATAAATAAATTAATTAATCACTAACTTATTGTCAACCTTGTGATTAAAACGTGTACTCACATTGATTTATGTATTACATGCAAATAAAGAAGTTTTTTGTGTTATTACAACAAATTTACAGACTTACATAAGTTGAGGATCACAAAAATTTGTTTTTTTTTTATGTTGTAAAACCAAAAGAATGTATTTACCATATTAAAAATATCATTAAAATTTATTATTGTTACATGACTATTACGATAAGAGAGTAATTTTTTATATATATAAAAAAGTAAATTCTTGGAAGAATGTTTTTTGCTTTCAATTTTACAATGATTCTATATATTTTTTATTATGTATAATTGCTATTGCATTTTAGGCATCTTATATGAAATTACCAATATCGAAACGAGATTTATATATCGAAGGAAGAATTTATTTTATTTCGTAATGATACCTTCTTAACTATTTACTATGTTAATTAATTTATAAAAAACACAATATTTATTTGTATAGTAATCTGTAAATTTCTAACTTGGTTATCCAAATAAACAGGCATAGTTGTTTGTAAAATTCCATTTTAAAACTAGACTTTGGACTTTAAATAACACATAGTGAATAAATAAACAAATATTGTGAATGTACCTCAAGAAAAAAATAAACTTAATACACATTCCTACAATTTCACACAAAAATCATAAAACCTAAATTTTCTTTAAATATCAAATCACCTTTTTTTTGTCTTTATGTGTATAACAAGCACATAATTTTATTTAAATAGTGTTATCATTATATAAAAAAATAAATATGTAAATAATATTCATATTATAATAATTTTTAAAAGTTTATTCAAAATGTGTTCATTTCATTGTTTAACTGGCAAATGTGATATTTGTGTTACTTTCCTTATAAATTAGGACAGTTATATTTTTCTAATAAATATTATCTAACAAGATAATGAGATAACACTGGCTACATATAATAATAAACAAATTTATTAACTTACCATTCCTATACCTTCAAATGCGTATATAGCCGTTCCAAAATACAGTGGCAATTGATGCCAGCTTGCAAATGCCTTGACTGTATTTGTGTGAGGTAAATCTTGTAGGATATAATAGAATGTTATAATAAGACCCCATGCCGTCATAATTGCAGCGATCAAAGATACTGGGGTCAAATATTTAAGATTCTTTAGCAAACCAAGTGCTAACATCGGCGGAAATATTATTGCTAAGTAACTGTGTACACTGAGATTAAGATGAAAGAAATGCATTGTATCCTGTAGGTTAGTAGCGACAAACAAGAAGTAAACACAGCAAAATCCTAATTGTGTGATAACAAGAAATATATTGACTATAGTCCTGAAACAATAATATATCATGCAATAAACTATAATATATATTAATATTATCAATTATTATAAGAAACAAATAATATTAAAAGGTACAATTATGTCCTAAACCAATAGAAAAAATAACCCAATCAAATATTAAATTCAGTTAGTGAAAATCACCATAGTGATTATTTAAACAAAATCTACACCATAAACCATAATAGAAGAATAAGTATGCAGTTAATTTACCTAAATTTCTTGGCATATGGACGCAGAGCTATGGGTCCCATAGCAAAAGCATCTTCAACTACTTCAGCGAAACTCATTGCTGGCCTCTGGTTTCTGATGCATAGTTCATGAGAGCATTGAACAAGCATATGCATGCAATGAGTACAAATTGTCCCCATAAATAAAGTTCCGATTACACCTGGGAGGAAAAAACATGGTAATTTATTTATCATTTAAAAGAATGAAAACAATATTTAAAGATTCTACAAATTTTAGTACCAACCCAAAAATAAACCAGAATTTTTAAAAGCATCTGGCATAGCTAGTATGCCAGTACCAATATTTCCTTTTAGTAAATGGATGAGCGTATCCAGATTAGATGTCGGATGTTCCAAGTAGCGTTCAGAGGCTGGATGATAATCGGCTTTCTTTGGTTTTTCATCTTTAATAGTCAATTCTGAATGTGATACAAGTTCCACAGTTTGAACCTCTGTACTATCCAGAGGTATACCGGGTCCAATTAAAAGAGGCTGCTTTTCATCACTCATTTTTGTAAATATAAAACGATTTGTTATTAAAATTCAAAATATTTCGAGCTTGACTTGGAAATTTACATTGTAAAGTGATTGTGCCCTGTTAGTAAGTATTGTCAATACTGAGACAGACTGCGCAAGTACTGAACCACAAGCGTGTAAATTAATACTGATATATGTTGACTGATGTTACTTGTTAGTGTACAAAAATCAATTGATAGCGCTGTCTGCCGATATCATAGCGATAAGCTTCCTTATGTCAAAGTCAACTGTCGACTGTCACACATAAAAAGACTAATTCCAAACTAAACAATTTCATTAAACGCCATGTATAAAACATTTTTTTTTCACAACTTACAATTTTCACTCACTATTTTAACATACTAAAAGTACTTTACTCTTTTTGTATTTAAAAAAAAAACTTTTCTTTTTTATTTTAATTATTCTCTTTATTTTTCCCATTAAAGTTGATAATGAAATAGTCACTAGTCAGTGACTTTGACAATGACAAAAACTTGAAAATGTTATGCAGTTTGTTGTTTGAAAATTAAGTATCTACCTACTGTTTTCATATAATGTATTTATTATTAAAATAGCTAGGGTATTGAAAGAAAACCAAATTTTGTGATATTAAAATAAACGTAATAATTTGATCACTAGCAGTCAGCATTTTACTTTTGTATTTAAAGTAACATACTTCCTTTTGCTCAAGGTTGATCAGTGACACACCGTCCATTGAATATGGGGAATGCGGGGAGTAATCAACAAAAGGAATGGCACAAAGATCAAGCCACAAAGCATACAGACATTGGTTCATCTTCCCCTGCAAAAGAAGGTGAAGCTTTTACGTTTGATAAGAAAATTGACGACGATCGCACCGGTCGAGACGATGACAACAACATAGAAGACGGGGCTCCGTATTATACTAAAGCTGTACCTCAACACGATGTAGAGGAAACTGTTATACGCGAGAGATCCAACACATTTACTGATGGAATTAAAATCGAGGATGTTAAAGTTCTACCAACAGTATTCAAATGGGAGGGAGGAGGAAAACAAGTATGACAATATTTACATTATTTTTTGTATAGTTTACATCATATTACATTAAATATTTACTATGACTTTTTATAAAAATGTTTGATTTTTCTAATTAGGATTCACATGATGTCAATTCCAGGTCTTTATTAGCGGTACATTTACGGACTGGAAAACTATTCCAATGGTGAAATCTCATGGTGATTTTGTTACCATTATTGATTTGCCTGAGGGGGAACATCAATATAAGTATTTTGTTGATGGAGAATGGCGTCATGATCCAACTGTTGTAAGTGAAGTTAACTATCAATATTAAAATAATTTGTCTATTAAGATTCATCTATTATGTAATAATAATTTTTTCTAGAAACTTGTAGACAATGGTATGGGTTCCAAGAATAATTTGGTGACTGTTAAAATGTCAGATTTTGAAGTCTTCCAAGCTCTTGCAAAAGATAGTGAGGGAATTCATAGTAGCGCACAAACTGAATATTCACAGGTAATATGCAATAAATACAGGATTTTTTGTATTAAAATCAGTTTATATGTTGTGGATAAAAGTATGAAATTAATTTCTTAACTTATTTCTATTTTATTTATAATTTTTCGAAGTAAATTCTGTTTCATATATTTAATCTTTATTTTCACAGGAAATACCACAATCAAAGCCTTGGGAAAAAGTTTCCGGGCCACCTATTTTACCTCCACATCTTTTACAAGTTATTCTCAATAAAGATACACCATTATCTGTAAGTATGAAATGTATGTTTTATTGTATTCATCAAAGGTCACAAGAAATCATTATATTGTTATAGGAAATTCAAAATCCTTTAAAAACTATAAAATTTTAATTAACATTTCTTCCTTGTCTGAAAAGCAATGCCACTGAACCATCTATAGATTTGAATTTAAGTCTAAAAGTATAAGAAAAAGAAATAGTATATTTACATATTTTTATTTATAAAGTATTTTACAATAATGAGTGAAATTTAAAATAAATATTTAGTTATAATAATACATTATCAATACAAAGTCATTTATGAAATAGTTCAAGTTTTTGTAAATCTCTTTTAGTTATGCTTAATTTTTTTGTGGTTATTTTATAGTATAGAGTATAATGATAGGATAGAGACAGTACTAGAAATTTTTACATTATACAGGGTGACTGGTGAATTACTATCAATATTTGAGGACGTGATATTTGACGATCATATATGACAAAATAAAAATTAATATAACATAAATATTAATAAACTTCTAAGTAAAGTTAACCAAAAGTTATGTAATTAATTACGCATCGTGTGAACACCCTACAGATTAGGTATACACACACACACACTCGCGCGCGGCGGCGTGTTGTTGTATCAGCACGCCGCCGCATTCGTTCACACTTGAACACTTGGAACGTGTCAACACTTTATTTATTTATACGGAAATTTTGTCAAAAATTAAGTGCCTATTTTTTTTACATAATTCGAATGAGAATCATGTACCGAGTATTCTCCTTAAATATTGATAGTAATTCACCAGTCACCCTGTATGCTATGTTGTAAAGAAATTTTATTCTTTTCTGTATATAAGACTTTTGAATTAATATAAATAGCTACCTAATAAGTTGAAATTAATGAAGGATTATGTCTACTATAAGTTTTATCCTGTTTATAAATATTTTTCAGTGTGAACCTACATTATTGCCTGAACCAAATCATGTGATGTTGAATCATTTGTATGCATTATCTATAAAGGATGGTGTTATGGTTTTATCAGCGACACATCGTTATAGGAAGAAGTATGTTACAACATTGCTTTACAAACCAATTTAAAGGAGGTTTTATGGTTGCTAGTTGCAAAACTGTTGTATGATTAATATTTTCTTTAACCTCCCCGTGATATAAATTCTGTAGATAATTTAAATGTAAAATTTGTGCAATATAGTGAAGCTTCTGTAAACTGTTTTATTTGATGCTTTTTCTGGATCCCTTAATAATTTGACATTTTAAAAGGAGCACTATACAAATAATGTACTTTGAATTTAAGTTTTCAATGGAAGCACACCAAAGAGTTTTTAATGTTTCTGTAAAAAGTTTTTATTACATTTCACATTGGCCAATATGTAACCATATTTTTAAATTATAATTTTTCCTTATTAGGATTAAAGATTATCATACATTAAAATTGTATTAGATAGATTGCTTACATGTGATTTACATTGTTATACATATTAATTATTGTCTAGAATGAAGATTGGTTAAATATTAAAAATATATTATTAATTTCATATAAGCAATAAACAGCAATGAAGGGGAACAATAATTTATTATTAAATGTTTAACAGATTAAAAATTTATATATAATAATATTATACATACATATTATTCACTGAAATTAATGATATATAGTGTAGAATTTAGATCAATTGTAACAATAACAGAAAATTTCTGTTGAGATCTAAATACTTAAAATAATACTTGTAATACTAAATTTGGTAGTTTCATTTATCATTACATTACTTCATATAAATTAATGAGATTATATTTAGGTATGGGTGCCAGAAAAGGGTATAAATGTGTTTCTATATCACTGGCATTCAAATTTGTGATCTCAAAACTTTCTCATTCACAATACCCTTTTAATCCTGCTGGCACCTAATTCATAAAAAAAATATAAATTTATATAATTTTAAACTTATGTTCCCATATTTTAAATTCTTAATAATAGTCACTTATGATTACAATAATCTCAATTGTCATTTCTATGTTTACTTTACTGTTACTGGTAATAAAGGTTTCTTATCAATAGAATTGTTTTTATTCGTGTTAACATTATTAACGGGATTCCTAACGTACATTGCAACTGCAATACTGACTAGGCATATTGATAACACAGTGTATTTCGTGATAAGGATATTAAATAGTAAGTAACATACAATAGCGGTTATAACTAGTTCTAAAGCACTGGCATATGTTTTTAAAATTGAATTCAAATTCTTCAGAAAGAAACTGGTAACGATACCGACAACAGCGCTATTCACTGTTATTAAAATAACAAATATATCACCGAGATATTTAAAGTCATAAAAAATGCCGTCTAACTCTCCCATGTATAGTAAAATAAAGAAATTGCATAAAACTGAATCGAGATACATGAAAACATTCTGTAAGAATATATCTACATCTGAGCCGACGGTTTTCAACAAATATTCATTGTAAGTTCCGGCCAAACATGAACAAAAGTTTTGAAAATTTATTGATAAGAAATATATGTTAAATATTTGAGAGAAAAATTCAGTATCTTCCTTCGTCTGTGCTGTTTGAGCATCAAAATTTTTTATCACACAACCTAATGTAAGAATCCCAAGTGAAATCCATTGGAAAAATGTAAGCTTCCTTTTGAACAGGAACTGTAAGACATAAGTATAATGTATTAATGATTACAGCTCATTTACTTGAATAATTAATTAAATTTAAAAAAATGCTATAATTAATTTTACAATTAATCTTGTATTATTAATTTTATAATTTATAATCTAACAGCAAAAAAGTGGTTTTGATAAAAAAATTTGCTTACCTGGAATATTAATGCTGTTAAAACAACTCGAAACTGAAGTAAAATATAATATGATGTGGGATCGTAATGGGACAAGTTTATAAATGCCAGGTTGTTATAAAAACAGTATAAAAGTGATGGTATAAAGTAATACAATAGTAGTCTATAATTCAAAGCAATAGCTTTAAATAAATTTGGCTTATTCCTGAAAAAAATATATATCATAAGCATAATTCATCCTCTTGGTATTTGTTACATTACATACAATGTATTATTAATTTATATATAATGACTTATTTTATACTGATTTAGATGAAAATTTATATATTTCTATGATAGTTAATTTGATTTATAAATAATACACTAAAAAAGACAGTAGTCAATGAACTAGAATATAGAGCCAAGGATATAAAAAAAAATACTTGCAGCCATCCTGTTTTAGAGACAACATGATGTCATTTTTATTTAAAAAATCCTAAATAATATTCTATTGGCTTACCCCTGTTTGCAAGTATATAAAAATCCAGATATCAACAATTTTAGTAATTCAGATAAAAATACAACAAGTGTTGTATTATAGTCATAAACTCCATTTTCTGTTTTAGATGCTGTTATAAAAACTCCTGTAATTATTATTTTTTTAATTATACACTATTAAACAAAACATAAGTAAAAAATTGATTGGAAATATAAATATTATATCAATAGAAACGTAAAAAAATATACTATTAACAAAATGTATTGATCATAAAATCATTCTCATTACCTTGAAATACAAAAAGGATTATATACAACGAAAATACTATGAATCCTTCTTTATTCGGAAATAACTTATTCCATTCTTTCATTTTCAATATTTTAAAAAGAAAATATTAATGTATAATAGTTAAATAATGGCAAAATATAATAGTTTCTAGCCCCTACACTATCCACGTCCACGAAATGGCTAATACTAATACATTAAACTTGCATAGTGTAGCTGATTTTAAATTCATCACTTTATCATTAACATATTTATTGTAAACAAGAATTAACAATTCAATATCAATAATAATTTGACTGAATATTCTAAGTTTTCATTCTCAGTGTAGCCGTAAACAAAAAGTAATGCAATATCAATTAATTTTTTCTATTATCTTTGTGATAAAAAAAATATTTTAAAATTAAATAATAAATATTTGTTATTGTAGTATTTGTGAAACACTGTTTTGACAATGGAAATACATAACATAATATTTTTCACTTTAGTTCGGTTTATAAATTTGACTTATGCAAGATGATGTTGTATTCTTCTTGAAAATATTATTTCTGATTGTAAAATCCAAATCGACAGTACCTTGATAATGTGTAACGATAAATTTGTGACTTGTTCGTAACCTACATTTTTTAATGTTTTCTGTATGCGATAAATACTATTAACATTATGAGAATATGAGTTTTATTTATGAGAATAGAGCGCCTATAAATGTATATGATATGTGAATAGGTAAATGTATGAGCAATATATTTTCATGGGTTATGGCAATTTACTCACTAGCTATGACATTGTCAGGTACATAGCGAATTTACTATTTACTTATTAATTTTCAGAATGATGAGCTGCGCGGTGATAGGTTGAAAAATCATTCAAGAAAACGGAATAAATAATAAATAGTATTTCTTTTTATGAATAAGAATAAATTTATATAAAAAATGAATAGCCGGGGCGGGCATTGCTGACGCAAACGCTGTCCAGACTGCGCTTTGTTTTTCTTATAAACAGGTTTTTTTGTTTAAAAAAACCAAATTTAATAATAAATACATATAAAATGTTGGGCTGTTTTTTTAATATATTTATCTACTGATGCATGAATTTTTTTAAAAAATTATATGTTTTATACAGGGTGACTGGTGAATTACTATCAATATTTAAGGAGAATACTCGGTACATGATTCTCATTCGAATTATATAAAAAAATAGTACTTAATTTTTGACCAAATTTCCGTATAAATAAATAAAGCGTGGACACGTTCCAAGTGTTCCAAGTGTGGACGCGTGCGGCGGCGTGCTGATACAACACCACGCCGCCGCTCGCGAGTGTGTTTGTGTGTGTATACCTAATCTGTAGGGTGTTCACACGATGCGTAATTAATTACATAACTTTTGGTTAACTTTACTTAGAAGTTTATTAATATTTATGTTATATTAATTTTTATTTTGTCATATATGATCGTCAAATATCACGTCCTCAAGTATCGATAGTAATTCACCAGTCACCCTGTATATTTAACTATTCCTATTTATTTAAATTACTTGTTTTTAACGACAAGTAAATATTGTAAGGAGATTTTAAAGTTTCTAAATTATGTGATGACGTTAGAGGTACATAGTAATTTTGTTTAAAAGATTGTATTTTAATTAATTTTTATTTTAATTTGCGGACGTTCAAGTAAAGTCTTTTGAATTGTTCTTCGCAATCCTTATCATTTCATTTGTTTGCCATATTGTAGAAATGCTTTTAAAAACTTTTTCGCCATCTTGGATAAGCCATAAGCCAGCTGGACTAAGAATAACGCAACAATGTTGACTTTTCATAAAAACAAAATTTATATTCTAAATATTAGCTCAAAGCGGTGTAGATAACTCTCTCAAAAGAAGGTTGCGAGATTTCACCTAAATATAAAACTTTTGACTTCCGGTAGAAAAAGGGAATTATAATCTAGCCCTTTAATTTAAAAATAAATGCAAGTCTTCATATTTTCTTTAAAAGATTCACTTATTTTTCCGGTTCACATAGACCTGATACTCCAATATTACCTATTATAACATTTCAATAATTATAACATTTAACCTATTATAACATTTATTTGTTATTTTATAAATTCATTCATAGGAATTTTGTATAAGATAATAACAGAAAGAAACTATAAAGGTATGAGTCTTTCTATTATTAAGTACTAATGATTGCTTTAATTTTAAAATTATTGTAGAATAGTATTAAATTAATTCTGTGCGTGTGGGAGAGATGCACCTGATACTTTGAGTGTTATTCTCTTTAATTCATTAACAATTTTGTGCAATCAATAGATTGAATCTGTAATTTTTTTAGTAATGCCTATATGCTGCTCAGTCATATATATGTATTTATATTTGAACATATATTAACGAATATTAATTGGAGGTGTACAACTAAATAATTCTATCCAACCATCACAGGATTGACCTTGCCCTCCTTCTGTAATGTTGCTTACATGCTATAAAAGCAGTTACTGCAGTTTGCAATGTTCTGGAGTCGGTTGTGGTAACCCGGCTCTAATGAAAGCTCGGCGTCGTCGGGGTGGTCCTAATTGCCGGGATCTCCCCCATGCTCGGAGGGAGTAAGTCCGGTCTTTGCCAGGACCGGTCAGTCGCTGGTGTGCCCAGTAGCTGACAGATAGCGGCCGACGGCTTTCGCAGTGGTTTAAGTGAGTAAGGACCTGCCCAGGTCGAGTCTCACACATCCCTTCTGGCTCCACCAATGCCGGTTGGACGGCTAGTAAAAAGAGTTTCCCTGCGACATCAAAAAAAAAAATCTGCAATGCTTTTTTATATTTTATAGAAATATACATATGAAGTATAATGATATTTACGATTTTCGCTTGCAGCTATTAAATGAAAGTAAGATTTTATGATAGCTAAGTGTTTTTTATTACTTTAAGTATACATTTTCTCGAAGTTTCCAAAATGTTAGTTTGATTTAAATATGACGCCTAATTAACCCTAGAGCAGTCGTTGATTTCAAAGGAACACGTATATAGAAATTTTAGTTCTAAAAAGCGAAAGGTCGTGGTTTCCTTAAGTTTTATTTTTATCTACGCCCTGGAGAGTTTTTTTTGTGTGTTTGTTCTATTTGATTGAATTAGACGGTGAATCAAGACTTGGAGTAAATTTGCTTTTATTAACTTAAAATAAATAAATATAAGCTCCTATCAAATAAATAAATTAATCGTTAAGCTCTTCAGCTACTGATGTTCAAGTTTTGTTTTATATTATTCGTTTACCTATTTACATAGATGACATTAAAAACCCAAACTTAGGTCTAAGCAAAATTCGGATAACAGTTTACCTTCGTTGCATTAAAGAGTAAAAAAAATTCCTTCCAATTGTGTTTTTTATTTATTAATTCAGTTTCGCTAACTTTTTATGAATATGTATACCTGATTGTAACAAAATTTAATCGTATTTTTGTTAGAAATGTTGATTAGCGCCTGATATTTTTTTTATATGATATATGTTTATATTTGTTTTATTATATAAGTTATATAATACACAATTCTAGTTTAAGAAAGGAGATACATAGCTTATATTGTGGCATATAAGCTTTCAAAATAATTATACCGCAAATAAGTATATATAAGCTTTCAAAATCCCATTTAAAAGGTTATTAATAATTTTCTTCATACACTTTTAAATCAATGTTGCCTTCAATGATTTATTAAGTGAATGACTCTATATTCGACTTATTGTAATAAATTCGTCTAATCAGCTAGAATTTACCAAAGCACTGCTATTTATGAGTATCATAGTACTTTATAAACATTGTTTGCATTTGGTTAAAATGACCTATAATTCAGCGGTATTAACTGAAAAAAGAAATCTTTATAGAAAGAATGATTAACAGCTTATTCATTTAACTTAAAATGATGTACCTAAAAATCTTGAAAAGTGTATGACATAACTGTTATTTAAATTAAAATATTATACCTAGATTGTTATCTTTCAATAAACCAATTTCAATTGTTTTTTCGGTGAATGTTAGTAATATGTCAAAGTCACTTGTTGTCAAGTGTCATTTTGACTGTTCCAACTTCTACGAGATTATTTGTTATGTTGGTTTAATTTGTGGTGAAATGAGAAATACAATTGATTGTTACATTTTATAGCCATTAACGGTTATAAATTCTTTCTCCTTTAAAAAGTTTAGGGTGTAAGGCATAAAATAAACGAGTTTAAAGCAACAGAAAGGGATTCAAATTTTCAGTGCGACACCAAAATGACTCTTGAAGAAGACGACAGTACTTGGTTAATATCTTATATATGCTTTTTTACATTCAAATACTATTCTACATAATAAGACTTCATTCAGATTGAATATTGAGCTTTTCATGTTTTATTAAAAACTTAAAATGTAATAAAAAGAATGACAAAAAATATGTTACAATTTTTCCTTATGCTGTGCATTTCAACTTTCTTCCAGGCTTATAGAATTGGAGTCAGCACTGCTCGATGGATGCACCCCTTGTGAGATTAATCTCATCACAAAAGGTAAAAGAATTCCTGAAAATTTAAGACCTGATGTTTGGTTGGTTTGTCTCAATTGTCAAGAAATGGGAAATCAGCTGCTTCTATTCGACGAAGTATTTGATTTACCAAATCAGAACGAGTTGAGAGATGATGTAAAAAAATTTGTACAAAAACTTGACAATGATGATGATGAAAAATTATCAGTAATATCGGACATAGAATCTATCATAACATTCTATTGCAAGTCAAAATCACATAATTACGCTTCTAACAATGGCTGGATTGAAATACTGTTTCCACTGTTGAGTCTGAAATTACCTAGAGGTGACACATATAATTTGTTTGAAAAAGTAATAAAGCTATATATTCCTAACGGCTGTGTATCTAACGGTGTGCCTTTTCATATACTACGACTGATCATACAATACCATGATCCAGAGCTGTGTTCATTCTTGGATACTAAAAGAATAACACCCGAACAGTATTGCATGCCTTGGCTTAGATCTCTTTTTTCTGGTACATGCAGTTTGGAGGTGGTGCTTTTTATGTGGGACTTGTATTTTCAGAGATCGGATCCTTTCTTTATATTCTTCCTATGCCTTATCATGATTATTAATGCTAGAGAGCAACTGCTGCAAATGAAGAATGAAGATAAAGCTACTATAATTAAAGTTCTCAGTGGCATGCCCCGGGATCTCGAAGCAAATGATATATCTGACTTTTGTTCCTTAGCCCATTACTATTCACTTAAAACGCCAGTATCTTTTCGTGAGGATGTGATTGATGTACTGTATTCCAATAGTGGAGTGGAAATTAATTCTAAATTATATTCGCAAGCTCTGTGTCTCCCTGTAGCGGTTCATGAATTGATTGAAACTGCTACGGTAGATGTCGCAGATGCTGATACTGTTAAGTTCTTTTTGGTTGACTGTCGACCTGCTGAACAGTATAATGCTGGTCATTTGTCTACTGCCTTCCACCTTGATTGTAATTTAATGCTTCAGGAGCCAAATTCATTTAACACTGCCGTCCAAGGCCTATTAAACGCTCAGCAGCAAGCATTAGCAGCAGGCTCCCTTGCCGCTGGTGAACATTTATGCTTTGTTAGTTCCGGAAGAACAGAAGAAGACAGCTATGCGCATATGGTAGTAGCGTCATTCCTCAAGAAAAATACCAAGCACGTATCTATGTTAGATGGTGGATTTGTGGCTATACACGACTATTTTGGTCCCCATATGACTGATTGTTTGGAAGATCACAACACAAATATGTGCTTGGTTTGTGCTCCCAATAACAATAATAATGGCAACAAACCAGCTGAGAATCGACCCAGAGATAATGCACCAGCTATTCAGTTGTTTAGCAAATTATCGTCAGCCATGAAAGCAAAAAGTCAAGAAGTTAAGGGGAAGTTAATAGAGTATATTGTTAATCCAACATCGCAAGCTAATAACGGTGATTGGCATGTATCAGCGAATGATAGAAAGGAACAGAGATATAGGAATGTGCCTCCAGTATTCAGCATCAACGATGAGGATGAAGATTCCTATTCCGATAATCGTCGAGACGTATCTAACAACGATAATTTAGACGAAATGGTAGACATTAAAAATTTCTTGCAAGGACCGAATATAGTAAATAATTTCACTTGTCAAGAAGTATTGTCGAATGGTTACATGTTTGACTCCCATCTTGTGGTGACCGAGACACATTTAATCATTCTACGTGAGATACCAAACAAGAAAGGCGTAGCCAAAGTACTGTCTCGAAGGCCACTATCCACTATTGTAAAGATTACAGCAAAAAAGAGGCATCCAGAGCTAATTACTTTCAAGTACGGAGTACCTGATGGGGACAATTTATTGATCAAAGACATGGATCGATTTCTCATTCCAAACGCAGCTGTTGCGACAAAAATTGTCTCCAATCAAATAGTCTCGCAGTTGGATAATAAGTTACAATAGACTTATTTTATGACATAGTGTTAATGGACACATGTAGGTGAAGTTATCTTTCAACATTAAATAGTAGGACTTATCTTTGTGATAGTAATTCCTTGTCATTTAGATAGCTAAGTGTTATTTAGTTCAAGCCTAAAATTGTCCATCCATTTTTTATTTCTGTGTGTCATATGACTGTACGAGCGAATTTAAAAATAGATTTCATTTTATACAAAAAATGCTGTTTTGGGGGCTCATTTCCTATGAAGGATTAACGCAAAGGTGAAATTATAATTACGCCTGCTTTAAAAATAGTACTTTAACATATTAGATATAGAAAGTATAGATAATTTTAGCATAGCATTTTTCATTAGTCACACAGTTTTGTAAAAGTTCTTGGAACATAGATATAATAATCTTTTTTAAACAAGAAAAAAGTTTTTATAATTATAATTAATTTATTTTAAATATGTTCAATGAAATTGTTAACCTATATTTATATTTTGTTGTATTAAAAGATTATATAAGTTCACTATGTTTTTGTTTTAATATTATGCAAGATTTTTTTAGAAGAAAATGCGCAATCACATTTACTGTTATCAAAAGATATAGCACAATTTTTATAAACACATGAGTCACACGTCATTTAAGCTTTTAAGATTCTTTTAAGATGATAAAGATCTCAAATCTCTAACTAGATTAGACAATTCAACACCAGTACTAAGACATATTTTTTTATTATTTGGCCAATAGCATGGTGTTTATTTTAATATGAACTGTTACGGCGAGTTATGTTTACTGGCAACATCATTAAAATTATTCTCCAATAGATTTTGCACAATTTAGTATGTTTTCTGTGTGTATATGATTAGTTCTGTTTTGATAATTTAAGTTAATTCCCGATGGTCAATCTCTAGTCGACCTTCACGGTTCATTTAGTACTGTTTGCGATAAACCGTATGATGTAATAAAAAATGCATTTTGTTTATTATTTATAATTGCTTTTAAGTGTACTTAAAACTATTTCAAAAATATGCATATATGTCACTTTGTTGAAGCATTTTACGTTACGTTCAATATATAATTATTTGTGGCAATTAAAAATATTGTTTTGTATGAAGAATTTTCCTTTATAATAATGCACACAGTTTTTTTAAATACTAATGTTTTTTATAATAGGTTTGTGTTAGTTTGTCTGTGTGTGTGCCGTGCTTTTTGTATAAAAATATATTTACTAAAAAATATTATAAATAATAATTAAACATGTTATAAGAGTGTATGAGAAATAAATTATGCACTACTTAATAAAATAATAAATAGTTTGTTTAATATCTTAATTCCAAATAAATATTGTTTTTATATATGGCTGTTTGATTTTATCCTTTGTGATTAGCAAAAAAAAATGCGCTTAATTTTTTTTTATCTGTGAGAACTCAAGCTAAAATAAAATTTATTTATCAATAAAATCTGTACCTATTTGTATTTTATAATTACATCTCTTCTAAAAATGTATTAATTTTAAAACTCGTAGATATAATATTATTCGAGGGGTAATGAGGTAAATGAAAAAGCTATATATATGGTATATTTTATTACCTTAATACATAACTATTAACTATATATACAAAGAATTAGCGTATCACTTAAAATTGATATGTATCTTATTACGTTCGTAAAATAAAATCTATTTAAATTGAATTAATTCTATCTAGGATGTTTAAAATAATAATGTCGCAATATAATCTTAAATATCGTTCTAATTACATAAATGATTATTTAAATGTTCCCCTTTCATTCGATTTGTCCAAATACATAACCCAGAACATTTGAAGCCTTATGAAGCCTCTTTATCCAGCCTTGGACGGAAAGGCATAACGATCTTACTCCTCATCATATATAATTGGTCGAAATTCGTTGTCCTTAATACAAAGATGGTGTGTTGGCAGTAAGTATGGAAAAGCTCGTAAAGTTGACAACAATTAATGAAATAGAGTAATGTGATTTATGAAAAATCTTCTTAGTTATGACGTGTTATATTAAATTTTGGCAATTTATATATTTAATGTTCTAACAGCGTTAAATTTTTCGGTTAAGGCTAAAATAGCGTATATTACATCTCGATTATTTTTAAACTTTATTAAGAATTATAACGTAAAAATTATTTGCATAATACCATAATTAGGTACTAAACGATTTACATATGTGATTATGGACAAAAAATATTCATCGGATTTATTTTACTACATTGTATGATTGTTTAAAATATTAAATCTTAATGAAAATACTATTTAATGATACTTCTTCATAATCTAAGCATTAAGATATCTAGGATAGTGACAAGAAATAGTTTTACAGAATTTGATAAAAATGTTTTATATTTACAAGTTTGTATACTAAGTTATACTAGATTTAAGTACATAGTTTTATTTAGAAATCCATTTTTAAAGAATAAAAACGGTTTATTGTATTTTCTATAGAAATTAAGTGCTCTATTTGAGTTGCAATTTAATTAACAAATTTAGTAGGTACTTACATACATATAATTGATTCAATTAGTAGTTATTATTTTTGTATATTTACCTAAATAGTAAAAACTGCTAAAGCGTATCTCATCATAGGTAAATTAACGCGATTGCGTTATAAATGCAATGAAAAATAGTACTGCCAAACAAAAAAAATATATTAATTATTTATAAGTAGATAATTTTATTTCCATACCCTAGAGAGTGATATGTATTACTTTGGCGATTTCAATAAAATCTAGGCACGATAATGGTAATTTACATTTAAGCACTTGATTAAATTACCTTACGCCGATCTAATAGTTATTTTGTGAATATCTTTCGTGATAAAATTTAAAAGTAAACTTGATAATTATCCTATTATTTTGCTCCAATTCTCATCTCTTCTTTCTCAATTAAACTCTCGATAAAAATAAATTAAATTTCTTTTATAGTCACAAATAATTTTTCTCTTTTCATCTCTTCTTTTAAATATATTTGGTTATGAATTACAAAACCAACATATAATTTTATTATTCAATATGTTTAGCACAGGCATGCATCGTACATACGGAGCTTTGTCAGTTGATTTTCATCTTTTTACACTACCTAATAACGTAGGTTACTAGATGAGAAACGAAAAACTTCTCGTATGTAGTGTGACTATGCAGACATGTGCTAAGCTTACAGATTTGATATTATTATATCGAATACATTCAATTCATGCAATCTTGGTCGTATTTTCTCATACCAACGATGTATAGTGAACATTCTTTACACATTTTGTTGTTTGTGTAAAAATTTTATATCACAGCCCTTTTAATTATAGTATGGCGTAACTCGTTATCGAAATATATGAATTAATATGATCATAATATTTAAATAAAGCGACGTTAAAACTATACTACAACGTGACGTGCTCGTTTCAGCAATTGTGTAGTTTGTTGATGGCTCTGCTGCTGTTGATTGTATGACATCCACTGGAATTGTGATAAAAATGTTAGATTGGTTCAAAACATTTGTTTTATATAGCTTAATAAAGACATTTACATATTCTTTTGCATTGAATAATAACGAAACTTATAAGTTATATGTAAATATTCCTTAAAAGCTGTAAGGAAAGGACTTTGTTTTTGTAATTATAAATTGCTAATAATATATAGATACTATGTATTTTTTATGGAACAATAAATTTTGTCGATACACAAGTCATTCTGTGGTAGATTTCAAATACTCTGAGATCAGAAAAAGAGGGGATGAAATAACATTTTTTGCTTCTCTTTTAAGGTGTACACTATACAATCCTTATAAATGACATTTTTCTACAAATTAACTTTTTACGAGTATATATATTTAAACTGATTTTAATTATTTCAACTATACGAAAGATGGGTGCCATAAAAAGAAAGAAATTTTAAACTGTAGGTAATGTTGAGTTCAAAAATTAAAGAAATTTATAATTAAATGACATTATCGTTAAATGTAGTTTAAAGTTCAACTGCTTAACTTTGAATTGTTATCTACATCACATAGGAATCCAGTATTTTTAATCATTCAATCAATGATGACCTTACCGATAACGGTGTCATTCCTGACATCTGCGAATTTGTCCTCAATGCTCCTAAATTCGGGGATTGTGCTAACACAACTGACTTCCAGTCTCCCAGTGGCCACAAGTTGTAGTTCAGATACCGTCACATACAAGTCTCGACCCCGACCTGGTCTGCGACTCCTATGACGACTAACACCATGCACCATATTCGCTTCATCTGGCATCTGTTCCAACTGGAATGTTGTACGTTTAAAACATTTAATCCAACTGCTATAAAGATTTTGTCTATTAAGCTTTGTATAAGTCATGATAATTCGATATGGAAAAGTAAGACGTCACATTAATGAAGTGATATTTGTAATGCAAAAATTTGTACAGATGAAGGAATGCATGTAATTGTATGCTAAACTGTTTTTGTTACATATCATAATAAAAGCTTGTAAATAATATAGGTACATATAAGTTTTCATCTTGTTTCTGATAATAACCACAGCGGTTGCCGCAAGAGTATGCTTTTATTTAATTTATCTTTAAACTTCTAAAATGTTATTTTAAACTTCTTTTAATTTGTTAAAATTTAAATTCCGTACATACATATTTTAGTTTACCTTATCAATTTATTAGTTAACAGTATTGCTGTATTTGTATCTACAGTATCAGATTTAATTGAAACTAATATTTTTCGAATTATACTTAAGTTTTATTATTGTAAAACGTGAACCGATATTTTGTCTGCCCGTGATCACGATTTCGAAAAAGTAACCGAAACGTCGGGAGTATGTAGTTTTGACAATAATAAAACACGCGCAGTACCTATAATCCGACAAATATCTGTTTCATTTAAATAAATACTCGCGAAAGCCTTAGAGATCTCAGTATCCGATTTGTTAGAAATTACTATGGTCATAGAGTTTCTATCTATCCTGCGTTTTCAGAGAAGGTATGTCATAATTACATATCGGTTTTATAAGTATTTGTTCATGATGATGTCAATATTCCGTGTAGTATTCATATGAGGACGGTGTGAATACTGTTTTTGCGTTTATAGATTTACCTGAGACTCTTTAAGGAGGCAACCAGGGGGCCGTGTCGCCACATGGGATACGTGGGTAAGGGCTAGAATTGGTGGTGGTGAAGTCTGATTGACCTCATGGTTCATCAGTCTTTGAAGACCTCGTCTTCCACTCTTCTCACTCATTGGGACGCGGAATTTGTGAGAATGTGCAACCAGCTCATCCATCTATTGAGAAGCCAATTATAGTTAAATATCATATGCATTTCTATTTTAAATGATGTCTGGTATAGGTGTTACAATACAGAACACATTCAATGGTTGTGGATTCGATTATCGGTTTCGAAAAGAAGGGTATGCTGAATATAAGATACATATATATATTCTGTCTTAGTGTGGTCAGTGAAGAACATAGAGAGAAAACCCGTGTATTTCAGGCGAAATTTAGGTGACCTACCCAATATCGTTGTGGAAGCCAAGTTCTAAATCCTATCTAGATTTGAATTGAAAGCCTGAGCTCACCTATGACACATTACTTTACCTGCTGTAACTCATGATGTTTCTGTTTAATTTGAATTTGAAATTGTTTTATTATTCATATATAATTAAACCTAAAGCTCTCGACCTACATAGTAGTTGACCTATTTCGAACCAAATATTTATTTTTTATATTAATTTGTTTCCTACACTACACGAATGCGTTTATATAAAGCTTCAACACATTTTATATAATTTCATTGGGAATCTAAAGGTTTTATCGCTACAGTTGTAGCTGGAAAAATCGTGTTCAAAAGACGCAGACTAAAATATAACTGTATTAAAGCGTCTATGAGTGGCCCTATTTTGCTATCGGCTGTTCCTTTATGTTTGAAAAATAAAAAATAAAGTATGTTTTACTTAAAAACATGAATGAGTACGAATGCGAAATTTTCGCTTTACGATCATAAACGATAATTACGATAATTGCTCTCTTTTGAATATATGTACCCAGATGCCATTATGTTTGACTTTAAAATAAATTTTTGTGCTTGTCAAATTAAATCTACTTTTGTATGCTCCGTGCAGTTATTAAATTTTGTTAAAAACACTGGCAGTACTTAAATTTTATTAATTTTCAGAGACAATTATAGATATTTTCATGGACTTTTAAATTAAAATCAAAAAGATGTATTGTATGGTGTCGTAAATAAATATTTTTTACACAATCTTCATGGAGTGGGTTGTAGATGGTTGAGTAGCCTGGTTAGTTATGTTAGAGATAGAAGTTTAGCTTCTAAAGAAAGTTACCTTAATTCAGTGCAGAGCACTAACTAAGTTAAATTTCTACAGCAAATTTTCTTCTCAAAGCTAACACGGGTTTTAATCCACTCGAGATTCAGATCTTGGTAGAAAAATTTAAAAAATTGTCCTAGAAATATCAGAAAGAATATTATAATGACGAGAAAAAGTAATTTTCTTGTTATTTATGTAAAATATAAGTTTATAAATATCTTAAGGTAACCTACAGTTATAAGAAAAGGTATGCTATTACCTTTTGTCCATTAATAAACCATGTGATATGTGGAGCCGGCAGAGCGGGGGCGGTTGTGCAATTCGCTTTTAACGTCTCACCGAAGCTTAAGTAGCGAGTTGGAAAGTCGATGCGTGGGTGGTGTTTTTGAGGATCTGGAAAAACAGTTATTAAACAAAATTATACTATATACTATATTAAAACAATACGCATGCCTGAATTTATATGGTCATAATAAATTCATGAAAATATTCGTTAAGTAAAATCAACGTATCGCCACGTGAAGATCGATGTTGGTAAATAAAAAAAGGATTGATGACACTCTCTTTTCCTTAAAGTTAGTACCAATATAAGCTTTATTGCGATCTAGTAGTAAACCTTGTTACAACTTGTTAAGAAAACCGTAAACTTCTCAAGCCTGTACTGATTCTATTTATTTTCAATGTGATTTAGCTTAATATAAGTTTTAATACCGATACATTCTGTGACTTAAAATTAGTGAGAGTCAGGATTAATTGCATCCGAAATCTCATTACTTTTCTCTATACATGAAATTCTTTAAATTTATTTTTATATATCAGTGTAAAGTAAATATATTTTATAAAATATAAATGGTAGCTTAAGTCCACGACAAACTTTGTCTAAGATTCTTATTAAAAGACTGCTGGTTTGATTTTCCTTTAAAGAAATTTCTATACTTATAAGATTTTTATGCGTCAATGTTTAATATATTTAACCATTTTATTTGTGTTATAAAAATCTTTTTTATGCGGATGTCTGCTGTCTAGATCCTACAGAATCGTAAGTGCTGAATTTTGACGGTTTTGCAAAATATACTTGTGTTCGGATTATATTTGGTCTGCATAAATAAGACCACGTTTCTCAATTTAGTGATGGCTCAAGAGGTTTTCAATTCACTTTCATCGTAATACATCCTTTGTCTAGTTTACTCTAATTTTTTTCACCTCAATAAATTTCCATCTACTTATAAAAATTGTTACAAATACTTAAAAAGACGTGATTTTTTGCTAATAATTTTATTCTTGAAACGTTTCTGATCCCATATATTTATAAAATAACTGCATTACATTGATATCACTAATTGCTTATTTTGAAGAAAAAATTGTAGTTATTTTTTGGACATTTACATATTCTCTTTTTAGAGTGATTCGTTGTACGCACGAAGGTAATTTTTTAAAGAAGAAACGCAATAATAAGTAATATGTGTTATGTTTTGATTATTTTTATAGGTTACAAAAGTTAATAATTGTGGCATTTTAATTTGTCAGAATAGAATAGTTTGAGAATATAATATACTATTCTCTTTTCTCCAAAGTAATGATTTCTCTTTTCTCCATAAAAGAATATAAATTAATAATATCTATTGCAAAAACACTTGGCATTTAAATTAACGCGTGGTAGTCATACCTTGAAACATTTTTTTCCCATAAAATATACAAGAATAATATTTCATAAAATATCTTTATAAATTTTTTAATTTCAATGATAATTTTTACAACTTTATTGAAATTGCTTAATATCTGGGTATATATCCATTTAATTATCTCGTGAAACATTCCCCTTATTAAACATTTAAGTATAATACGCCTTAGTTGAAAGTAATAGTGCTCTTACAATAAACATTAATACGTAAGGAAAGTTTAAGCTATTTAAGCATAAAAGGAGGTGCAATTTTCAATACTCTTAATGTACTTAAGAACAAACTGAATGAAGAGATTTTAAGGAATCTTGCATTACTGGGGTACATGTGATGCTTTTTCACATTGTTTTTAATTATTTTAATATTATATTATTTTGTATTTATAGGGTGTCTCACGGAAAATTTCGAATTTAAAAAGGCTATAAAAAAAGAACGACTCGATAGATTTCAATGATCAAACATTTATTTGAAAGCATAATTCATGACATTATTTGTGAAAAATTATCTCGGTCAAATGTCCACCACAGCTTACTTGGCAGTACCCTATTCGATCAGTCCAATTTTTCAGTACATTTTCAATTGTTTCCGGCCTTATGGCAGCAATGGCAACTTCAATTTCATGTTTCAAGTCATCAATCGTGCTTGGCTTGTTGGCGTAACAAACGTCTTTGACCGCTCCCCAAAGGTAATAATCCAATGGTGTTAAATCGCAGCTTCTTGGAGGCCAATTCACATCACCATTTTTGCTGATTATGCGATTTTCGAAGATTGGGCGCAAAACATCGACCGTAGCATGGGCTGTATGGCACGTAGCCCCGTCCTGTTGAAACCAAATATCGTCCAAATCATACTCTTCCATTTGACCGAAAAACCAATCAGTTAACATAGCGCGGTAGCGCTCGCCGTTGACGGTTACGGCGGCTCCTTCATCATTTTCAAAAAAAAATGGGCCGATGATGCCGCCGGACCAAAATCCGCACCAAACAGTCACTCGTTGTGGATGTATCGGTTTCTCCTCAACGACGTGCGGGTTTTCTGTGCCCCATATACGGCAGTTTTGTTTATTTACATAACCGCCGAGGTGAAAATGAGCCTCGTCGGAAAAGATGATTTTTCGATAAAACTCACCATCTTCGGCCAAACGATCTTCCGCCCAATTTGCGAACCGTAGACGTTTCGGATGATCAATTGGCTTCAGCTGTTGGGCCAACTGAACTTTATATGGCTTCAGGGCAAGATCTTTGCGCAAAATTCGGTGCGTAGTTGACCGAGAAAGGTGCAACTCTTGCGCTCGATGACGAATCGATGTGGATGGCCGTTCACGAACACTTTGTTCCACCGCAGCGATGTTTTCGGTTGACCTTGCTGGAAATGGACGTTTACGTGTTGTTTTATCCAACAGTGATCCAGTTTCGCGCACACGATTCACAAATTGCCGCACATATGCCTCCGATGGCAAATCTTTTTTGGCAAATATTTTTTTCAAATTTCGCACAGTTTGCGTTGGCGATTCACCACTTTGGAAATAATTTTTTAATATTTCCCAGCTTTCCTCAAGCGAATAGCGACCCATTTCGTAAATGTCAGACTTATTACTAAATATGTGACACTTCTCCGATGACAGTTGACGTCTCCAATGTCAAATTATCGTTAGTTCAAATTCGAAACGCTAGATGGGACACCCGTTAGATCTTAGTCAGTTTATCCATTAAAACGATTCAGTTTTACACACTGTTAATAATATTTATAGAAAAACTTTAAGTATAGCATTAATTCATTGAAATGAAACTAATATTTTGCGGATATACCTTCTACTTTTCAGCAACCGTGGTCACGGGCAGATGAGATAGCCGAAACGTCGGTAGTACCTATGTAGTTTTTCACAAAAATAAACAGCGTAGTATATCCGAAAAATATTAGTTTCATTTAAATGAATGAAACTAGCAAAAGTCTTAGATCTCATTATAGCATTAATTATTTTTGAAATCGTCATTCAAATTAATAATAAATAGATGTAAAATGATTTTATTTATATTATAATTTTAATAAACATTACAATTAAACAAAAGACTGTTGTATACAGATGAAACACTTTTGAGATCTGTGTTACCAGGCTACAAAAGTACTGACACCAATAACAATACGCTATCGTTGACTTTTACAGCTCGCTGGCCAATTACTCCAGTTACAGTAAGGGTTTGTATTCAGATTAAAAGAAACAAAAACTTACCCTCGTTTTAGGGAAAACATAGGAAAAATATTTAAGTTGGTGCTACAAATTAAAAAAACACTAAGGAGTCACAATACCTTATAATTGCAGTATTATTGTGTGTGGAAGAGGGAAGGCTTATTTATTACTTAAACTTCAGCATTGAATGTAACGTATATTATATGAAGTAATAAAATTAATTTGATGTTTACCTATCGATATAACTAAACAATTACTGATAATTCTAAAGTGAATGTTTGTTTTTGTAAAAAAAAATGTAATTTTATCTTATAAATATTGCGGTTTGAATAAAAACAGGCTTTGACGTTGGAAAAGTAACGATAAAATCATTTTACAGCTCCGATTTAATGTTATTTTCCTGGACATCATAACCAGAGGAGACTAAAAGATGAACTATATTTATAAAATAGGTCAACCTGTTACAAATGACGTAAAATCTGTTTTTATATATCTGTGAGTAATCGATAAAATACATTAAATAAAAATACTGATTACATAAAAGAAAGACAAATTTTAAACTAAATATTTTGACTCATATTTTCCGAACATTCCTATAAAACATTTACTACACTTTTTTGTATAATATACTTATATATCTTTTTTCCGTGAGTTACCAGTATGAAATGCTATCAGATTTATTAAGAAAATTACGGGCTGGAAGATATTAGATATATTAAAGGTTAATATTATAAATATATGTATTAAATACACATAAGAACCACTTCAATATATTTTGTATTTACCATCAAAATCGATCAAACTACGACAAAGTGTAAACAAAACACAAGGTTAAGGAAACGATCCAACAACAATACGGAAAGTAGCAGTTTGAGTAGTAAGTTATAATTTAAATCCTTTATGAGTAACACAGTAACTTACTAACTCACTCACTTGTCACAGGGACTTAGTCGAGTTAATAATCAGTTAGATTTTTGTATGATTTTTCTTTCCAAACAGTAGTTAACAGGCATACAATTTTGATTTTGAAATATAATCGAATCATAAAAGTGAAAAATAGATGGTATTAATTAAAATCATTGTGGATTATAAATAAAAACGCAAAAATAATAATCGTACTAAGGTATTTTCACTAATGATTCTCAATTTCATTGTTTGGTGTATTGAATGTTCTGAATTACTTAATTTTTAATTGCCTTTATGAGGGAGGTATATTTGTTGAATGCATTAAATTATTACATCTATATCTACAGCTACCAAATTAAATAAGAACAGTGTTAAATTTCAATTCTCAGTACTTTCTTTTATCAACTTCGTTTGAATAAAGGTTGGTTCTGAAAGATTATTATAAATATGTATTCTTATAAACAAACAGTGTTACTCCGATATGTATTTATTAATATTCTTCTTTATTTAGCTTCGTCAAAATCTGCTCAAACAATTTTGTTTGAATAAATATACAGTATCCTTACATCATAAGTACTAATATGAATAGACTAAAAAGGTTTAACATCAGAGAAAATAGT